GACACTGCTACATAAGGAAGAATGGGAAGCCCTTCAAACCAAATAGTTCTGTCTTCATCTCCTCTACACATGAGGCTTTCCATTTTCATATAAAGAAGAACATTCCTACAGCTAAAAAAAGAAAAATTAGTTTGCCAACTGTTGATAGAGTCCAATGACCCAGGCAATTTCTGAGTATATTCTGCAGACTATTAACAATAAACACAGATAAACACATAGGTCTGTGTGGTTCCTAATGTTGCGATCCTAATTTGTAACCACAGTAAAGTATGTTTAGGTAACTATTATTAGCGGAACAGTGTACACAAAAGACTCAACATCATATTTGAAATTAGAATTTTCTGAACATATTCTTCCTCTGGAGGCGGGGTGGGAGGGGACACATTTCTTCTTGGGTATGAAATCTGATGTCAGTAGAATTACTGAAAAGCTTTGTGAAGAGGTAATTTTAGGTGTGAATGTTGTGACAGCAGGTGGAGCTAGTAGTGGGAACTATTTCTAGGCTATTGAAAGAGCTAGCTGTATACAGCTTACGTTAATGTGTTTTCATTGCAGAGCTTGAGGAATAGCATGTTATTATGTATTCGCTTTGGAAAGTGATTGTATTACTACAACACGAGAGCTGAGCTGAATGGAAACTTCTCTGTGTATTTTAGAAAAGGGGCTTGTATTTGGATAAGTATTGTCTTGGAAGACTAAGACAAAGACATAGAAGGGAGGGGATATGTTCACACATTATGTACTTGAGTTTAATCTTTAGTGTGTGGACTTTAAAAAATAAAGTATATGATTGTGTGGGAAAATAGCGTGAAAGAAATTGATTATACATACAGAGTAATTTGTGTTACTGGATGTCTTTTAAGTGGTAATAGGCATACAGTTTAAATCTACACACATTTTCTAGTAAAAGCTAAAGAACATTTGTTTTTATCCTGCAATATTGTGAAATAAAGACCCAAATACTTCATAGTTATGCAAATACTCATGAGTTATCCGAATATGTAATTTAAAAGATGTCGTCACTCATGTACTTTTTTTTCTTGTGAGTTACGCAATGAACCATGGAATTGTGCTTGTTTTTCCCCTTTATCATTTCTCTAGGTCAAATGCAATGATAAGAGCAAATATTATGGATGTAGTTCTCCCTGAATTTTGGTTGGTTTTTACTACATCATGTTTTAAGAGTTTGGGTTTCTGAAGTGACTATTTTGCTGGCTATGTGAATAGAAAGTGACCTACTTTTTGGCATTCATATACAGAATAATAAGATCATTAAAAACTTTTTTTTTCTTTTTTTGAGGCAGAGTCTTGTTCTGTCACCCAGGCTGGAGTGCAGTGGCACGATCTCAGCTCACTGCAACCTCCACCTCCTAGGTTCAGGTGATTCTTGTGCCTCAGCCTCCCAAGTAGCTGGGATTACAGGTGCATAATAGGTCCACACCTAGCTAATATTTGTATTTTTAGTAGAGACAGGTTTTGCCATGTTGGCCAGGCTGGTCTCAAACTTCTGACCTCACTCAGGTGATCCACCTACCTCAGCCTCCCGAAGTGCTGGGATTACAGGCATGAGCCACCACACCTGGCTAATTTTTATATTTTTAGTAGAGACAGATTTTGCCATGTCCATGCTGGTCTGGATCTCCTGACCTCAATCGATCTTCCCACCTTGGCCTCCCAAAGTGTTGGGATTATAGGCATGAGCCACCACGCCTGTTCTAAAATACACATTTTAAGCCTGGTGTGGTGGCATATGCCTTTAGTTCCAGCTAATGGGGAGATTGAAGTGGAGGATCACTTGAGGCTAGAATTTTTAGGCTGCAGTGCACTGTGGTCATGGCTGTGACTAGCCCCTGTACTCCAGCCTGAGCATCAGAGGCAGACCTTGTCTCTAGGAGAACCCCCCCACCACATAGACATTTTAATGATTTTGCTAAAAACTAGAAATAACATCTTATTTGTTATTAATTGAATGTTACTCAGCAAACATGTAATGCATGCCTACTGTCTGCTAGGCATCATGCTAATCGTGGGATAAAATTTTGAACCCTGTACACTGCTTTCCCTCAGCATGTCTCAGGCAGACGTGCGGCCAAATAATTACCATAGATCCTAATCACTTCTGTGATTACATAATCAACAAAGGGCTGTCGGGTCACAGAAAAAGGACTCAGCTGTGAGAAATCAGGGACACATTCAAATAGGAGATGTTGCCTGGGTTGCATCTGGAAGGAGATGTAAACATTCACTAGGAGAAAAAAGGAGCAAGTTCATGATTCCAGGCAGCGTGTTTTACACAGGCAAAGGTGTAGAGTATGAAAGGGCCTCTTTTCTTGGGGAAGCACCAGGAAGTTGACTAGGAAGCCCTGAGAGGTAGATGGGGGTATGTTTCTGCAGGCCCTCATAGGACATGCCATTATCAGTGAATGAATTATTCAAGAATTTCAGCTACTCTAGATGCTACTTAATTGACTAGCTTCTGGTGTTCATGAAAGTAAAGTTATGGATATGACCTTATGGGAACATGACATGGCTAGACTTCAATTTTAACCTCAGGAATTTTGCATATGTTCTTTGTCACAACAGTGATTAGATAAGAATGGAGCTGCATCAATTTTTTTTTCTTTTTTTTTTTTTTTGAGATGGAGTCTTGCTCTGTCACCCAGACTGGAGTGCAGTGGCACAATCTCAGCTCACTACAACCTCCGCCTCCTGGTTTTAAGTGATTCCCCTGCCTCAGCCTCCCGAGTAGCTGGGACTACAGCACGTACCACCACACCCAGCTAATTTTTGTATTTTTAGTGGAACCGGGGTTTCACCGCATTGGCCAGGATGGTCTCGATCTCCTCACCTTTGACCTCATGATTTACCCACCTTGGCCTCCCAAAGTGCTGGGATTATGGGGGTAAGCCACTATGCCTAGCGTGGAACTGCATCAGTGTGTATCCCCACAACTATGGAAAAAATACTACACGTGCTAATTTACTACAGTACATATGATTGAGCACCTGTCAGGCACTCGGGTAGGTGAGGGAGGCATGTCTTGTCCAGAAGACAGCTGGCCACCTCCTGAACTTCCCTTGGTTTTCTTTGGAGCACTTCACACTTCACACATCTGAATGGCAACTCTTCATCTCACCCCAATTTCACTCTTCCCCCAGACAGAACCTTTCTTTAAGTAGCTCTTCCAGCCAGAATCTATGGGATATTCTTGACATCTCCTCCTTTCTCACCCGCCACATCTAGTTCTTCATCAAGCTATGTCATTTAGATTCTAAAATATATCTGGAAACCTTCCACTCCTCTCACCCCCACTGCCAGCAACCTGGCAACCACATCTCTCACCAGTAGGCTCCTAGCTGGTCTCTCTTTTTAGGTTTTTTTCTCCCCCACCCCAATCCTATTTTCAAGATAATAGCCAGAAAGATCTTTCAAAAATCAGGTCATATAACTTCCCAATTCGGACCTTCTGTTGACTTCCTTTGCACTTAAATAAAACCCAAATTATTTACTATGACCCACAGGAGCCTGTGAGTTTTGGCCCCTGCCTCCCTCCCCAGCCTCATCTTGTATCACTTCTCTCTGGCTCACTCCGTTCCAACCACAGCAGCCATTTTTCATTTTCCCGCCCTGCCACCCCACGGCCTCAGCACAGGCTGTCTCTACTGCCAGCAATGCTCTTCTTTGCAACATTAGCCAGTTGGTATTGTCTCAAGGTTTATATCTGGGCTTAAATATCTCCTCCTTGAAGGGATCTCTCCTTCACCAGAGTCTACTCTACATAAGGATTCCTGGGAATCTTTTTCACAACCTCATGTCTTCCCCTCATTGCCCATGCCACAGTTTGCAATGAGGTGTGCATTTGCATTTGAACCTGTGTAATGACTGCCTTCCCCACCAGACAGGGTGCTCCCTTGGAAGCATGTATGTTCTCTTTTCCCCTCTATTTCCAAAGCTTAATACAGTGCCTCGTCCACAGTAAGTCCTAAAACATTATAAAGGACTCATTTGAAAACAGAAAGACAGATCATTGTTTTAAGTTGATAAATCTTTAAATATAAATAAAGATGTAGGAAATTAAAAAAACCATTTCTACATTTTTTAAATGATTGGACCTATTTTAGAAAAGTATACAGCTTAGTATTACCTCACTAAAAGAAAAAACGTGCATGTGGTTATTGTATGGTTGGGGCTATTTTTAAAACGGAGCGATGATGTTTTTTATGGAAATCCTGAGTTATATAAATGAACCGCTCTTTTTATATATTTAGAGCTCAGTTCACCAACATGTTTAAATTCTTGGCTTCGCTCTTTAAACCTACTACAAAGATCACATTAGAATTCATTTTAATAGACATCGTAAGCACAGTATCCAATCTCATTTTATCACGCTGGGCTCTTTTATTATCAGAGTCACAGGAAGCTGAGCCTGAGGCTGCTCCACACGTTGTGGGGTGTATCCAGGGCTGGGGATGGTGCCAGCTCTGTTGTTTATGTAATATTCTCTCCACCTTTATCTGTGGTATGCAACTGGTATTGACTTTTAAGAAACTACTTCTCTGACCCGATCTCCCAGTTGGAAAAAAGAAACCTGCCGTTGTGACATCTGGCTAGGAAAAAAGGGATCAAAGAAACATAAGGAAAGAAATTAGGAGACCTTATTTAATAAGTAGTTTCATGCCTATTCGAGCTGATAGAGGAAAGAGTGTTAAACTTTTTCAAGTTCACCATTCCTTTACCCCTGGAAAAAGCTCAATGAACCCTAAAAGTCTCTTGCATTTTCACTATTGATTTCTAGTGTTGGGTCTGTTAAATGTTAGCTTCTAGCAAAATGCCTTTTTAGGTCTTCAGGAAACTTTATAGATCATGAATAAATACTGTTCACCAAAAGTAAGATAAAATTTGATTATTGGTGATATTTCTGACTGTTCATTTCTATTTAATTTTTTCTTAAAGAGGAAGACAGTAATCTTTGAAAAATTGTTTTTTTTTCCAATTTTTAGGTATATTACTTGAGGAGTTTTTAAATATTGTAAGGAAGAAGAAGGAAGCTCAACGATATCGGAATGAAATAAGACACATCTTCACAGCCTTTGACACGTACTGTAAGTGTCTCTGAAGTGTTTCGATATAAAAAATTGCTATTAAGGGATTGCAAATAGGATTTTATACCCAGTAAATCAAGCATATAATATACTTGGAAGATTAGATTACTGTGTTCATTAGCTGTTACCTTAGGTATTGGTGCACGTTTTTTTCTGCATCGTGATCTTAAATTCTTAACATTTATCATGGATGAAATAGTATTTACAGGCTGGGTGAGGTGGCTAACACCTGTAATCCCAGCACTTTGGGAGGCCGAGGCAAGCCGATCACCTAAGGTCGGGAGTTCAAGACCAGCCTGACCCACATGGAGAAACCCTGTCTCTACTAAAAATACAAAAATTAGCTGGGCATGGTGGCGTATGCCTGTAATCCCAGCTACTTGGGAGGCTGAGGCAGGAGAATCACTTAAACCCAGGAGGCAGAGGTTGTGGTGAGCTGAGATTGTGCCATTGCACTCCAGTCTGGACAACAAGACCAAAACTCTGCCTCAAAAAACAAAAGCATTTACAGTTATATAGTTGTATTAATATATTATACCTCAGTGATCATGGGGACAGCAAAAGGACTGGCCATGGGGGATATAGGACATGAACCACCTATGGAGGTATGGGAGACTGTGTGGTTTCTTTGTCAACTCTTGCTCTGACCTACATATGATTGGTGGAATTATTTTCTCACATAGGGTGTTGCTGAGAGGGGTGGCTGCAGACCTTCTAAGCCCCATAGGTCATACACAGAATGAAAAGATTGTGGAGACTAGGTTCAATGTCTTGGCTGCCATTATGGTTTCCTTCTAAATATTAACATTTCATGATTTCAATACCAGGCAAGGGAAAAGTCGTGAATTTTGAAGACTGCATTGTTTTGGCAACTCTCAAAGACTCAAAGTCTAACACCATTGTTATAGTGCATGTCTCATATATGAATCCCTGGGACTGAGAGAATCAGCAAAATGACAGGGTCACAAGTGACCTTGAAGATCAGCTGGGACTACACTGAAGTAAAGTATGATTAGATTCTTAAATTCTTCAGATGAGACAACCTCAGAGTACCTTATGTGTAAAATAAATCATAAATTACTGCTTTTCTCCTAGTGATATACTAAAATAAGTTTTACACAAATGTTACAGCTGAAGTAACATTTCATAGGGCTCATCAAAGTAAGTGAATATTTTTTATTGTTTTCAAATAGATCGTGGATTTTTAACTTTGGAAGATTTCAAAAAAGCATTTAGGCAGGTGGCTCCCAAATTACCAGAAAGGACTGTTCTCGAGGTATTCAGGTAAGGCATCAGAATCTTTCTGTACACCCACGTTGTGATGTACCATTTGCTTTTACATATTTTTGACTTTATGGAAAGCACTTACTTATTCTGATTTTTTAGCCAAGAGCATTTTTGTCTTGCAGCCTAGTGTCATGATGCAGGAGGGAAATCTATAGTTACCTGCGAGTCCTTCCATGCCCTCGACAGTGGACTGTAAAGGGAGGGGGGGCTTGTACACCAGCCAGGTGCATACAAGCACTTGTGAGTAGGGGCAGGAGAGGAACAGGAAGAAAGTGGAACTTCTTCAGATACTTCTGTATGAACCAAGGGAAAATGAAGCTTTATTAATATTTAGCATGGATGCTGGTGTCCTCACATGGTCTGTATTTCAGTTGTCTGGAAAGACCTGTTGGAGTTGCCTGATGGTAGCCTCCTCCTTCGCTTGCTTTCAAAGCTGCCGACATATTGCAGTTCACACGTACCTGATAAAGTGGATTTAAAGATTACATTATGTGGTTCTTATGAACGAATCCTGACAAAATGGACAAGTGGCTTAAAAGCAGTTTCTGATAGGAGACTGCAGACTGAAGGTAGTATGAATAGTGCAAACACATGCTGATGTGAGAACACAGCAGAGCTGTCTCTTCTGTGACTCCCAGCATGAGCTCTTCATCAACCCTGTTACCAGGTGCATTCGTTAGGGTTTGGCAAACCAGCGAGAGCCAGAAAACCCAAAAGAACGGAAACTCAAAAAAGATAGAAATTCATTTATCTGACACGTAAACATAGGCAAACCAGGGCTTAATGTTGAGCACACAGTTGGGAAGGATCCAGATTGCCCCTTTTCTTGTTGCTTTGGCTGCATCAACACCTGGCTTCTCCCTCTTACTTCAAGATGGTTGCTTAAGTTTCAGGAGTCAAATCTGAATTCCAGCTGGTAGGAGGAAAAGAAAGCAGGAAGGGATTCCACTCCTTTTCAGGATATATATATTTTCTACTTAGAACCCAGTGACCAAAACTTAGTTCCAAGGTCATGCATAGCTGCAAGGGGGGAGGGTTCTGGAAAATGTAGTCTTTGCTCTGGGCAATGATGAGCCTAAGAATAGAGGTTCTGATGCCAAGGAAGAGGGGGAGAGAATGGATATTGGGGAACATCGGGAACATCTGCCAGATGTTCCCATTTGGGATAAAAGTAATTTTTTTTTTTTTTTGGGAGGAAGGGAGGAAGGCAGGAAGGGAGGAAAGGAGGGAGGGAGGGAGGGAGAGAGAGAAGGGAAGGAAGGAAATCGGGCAATGAGAGAGACATTGCCGACCTGGATCTAGAGGTCTACAAGTTGATTTCGTTTTTTCTTTTTTTGAGAGAAGAAAAGAAAAAAAAGGACTGAAGGAGAGGAAGAAAAAGAGGGAGAGAGAACAGAAATGTTGCTTTATTCTAAAAAAAAAAAATGGGTATTAATAATAGCCAATCAATATTTCATTTAAACCTATGAGTAGGTGTGATGTGGTATTGACAAGAATGTATATTTTGTGTATTTGAAGTGGAGAGCTCTATAAATATTTATTAAGTTTACTTGTTCCGGATCTGAGTTGGAGTCCTTGATATCCTTATTAATTTTCTGTCTCATTGAGTCTAAGTCTCTCTGTATCTGGGTGTTAAGATCGTTGGCTCTTGTTGTTGCATTGATCCTTTTACCACTGTACCTTTGTTGCTTTGAAATCTATTTTATCAGATACGAGAATTGCAACTCCTGCTTTTTATTTATTTATTTATTTATTTATTTATTTATTTTTGCTCTCCATTTGGTTGGTAAATCTTTCTCCATCCCTTTGTTTTGAGTCTTTGTGTATCCTTGCATGTAAAATGGGTCTGGATGTAGCATACCGTTGGGTTTTGGCTGTATCTTTTGATTGGGGGATTTAGTCGATGTAAATTTAGGATTACTGCCATTTGATGTTAACTGGCTGTTTTATCCATTCGTTGATGTAAATTCTTCTTTATGTTGGTGCTCTTTACTTTTTGGTATATTTTTAGAAGGGCTGAAACTGGTTGTTTCTTTCTATGTGTAATGCTTCTTTCAGAAGCTCTTGTAAAGCAGGCCTGGTGGTAATAAAATCTCTGAGTACTTGCTTGTTCATAAAAGATTTTATTTTGCCTTCAGTTGTGAAGCTTAGTTTGGCTGGATATGAAATTCTGGGCTGAAGATTCTGTTCTTTGAGGATGTTGAATATTGGCCCCCACTCTTTTCTGGCTTGTAGAGTTTCTACTGAGAGATCTGCTGTGAGTCTGATAGGCTTCCCTTTGTGGGTAACCTGACCTTTCTCTCTGGCTGCCCTTAGTATTTTCTCCTTCGTTTCAACTCTGGTGAATCTAACGATTATGTGCCTTGGGGTTGCTCTTCTTGAGGAATATCTTTGTGGTGTTCTCTGTATTACCTGGGGTTGAATATTGACCTGCTTTGCTAGTTTAGGAAAATTTTCCTGAATAATATCCTGAAGAATATTTTCCAGCTTGGATTCATTCTCTCCGTCGCATTCAGGTACACCTATCAAATGTAAATTTGGTCTTTTCACATAGTCCCACATTTCTTGGAGACTTTGCTCATTCCTTTTTATCCTTTGTTCTCTAATCTTGTCTTCTCGTTTTATTTCATTAAGTTGGACTTTGACTTCTGATATCCTTTCTTCTACTTGAACAATTCAAGTGTTTAAACCTGTGCATACTTCTCGGAGTTCCTGTATTGTATTCTTCAGTTTCATTAATTAACTTATATTTCTCTCTAAGTTGTCTATTCTCATTAGGGTTTTGTCAAACCTTTATTCAAAGTTCTTAGTTTCGTTACATTGGGCTACAACATGTTCTTTTAACTCACAGAAGTTTCTTATTATCCATCTTCTGAAGCCTGATTCTGTTAATGGGATGCGCTCATTCTCCATCAAGCCTTGTTCCCTTGTTGATGAGGAACTGTGATCCTCTTTAGAGGGAGAGGCATTCTGATTTTGAGTATTCTCAGCCTTTTTACGCTGGTTTCTTCCCATCATTGTAAATTTATCCAACTGTCGTCTTTGTAATTACCAACTTTCAAATTAGGTCTCTGAGTGGACGTCCAAGTTGTTAATTCCCAGGGCCGAAATATGAGCAACCCACTGCGCTGGCCAAAACAGCGGTGTTAAGACTGATGGTGCTTTTCTGCCTAGGAATCTCCAGTCCAGCTTCCTTCTCGAGTCTGTAATAGGCGACTCTGCCTTCCTGGAGCTCCAAACCTTGGTCAGAAGGGGAACCAGTCCCGTTTACTCTGCACCAAGAGCTGCCGCGCCGAGGTGCCAGCAAAACCGCTGCACCAGCCACAAGAGTCATGCTGGCGACCTGTGCGGCTCCTCCCAAACCTCAGTCAGAAGGGGAACCAGTCCCGTTTGCTCTGCACCACGAGCTGCCACGCCGAGGTGCTGGCAAAAGCGCTGCGCCGGCCACAAGAGTCGCACTGGTGACTCGTGCGGCTCCTCCACTGGAATCTTCTGCTCCATGAGCGACAAAAATTTGTCTGAAAGTGTGGCCTCCTCTCGTTCTCTGCGCTTTCACTGGGAGCTGCAATCCTGAGATGTTAGCGATCAGCCATCTTGGATCGTTCCCAAAAAGTGGGATAAAAGTAATTTAATGAAATATGACCAGAGCCAGTCCTTCTCAATAGAAATTATTAAGCAGGTTACTTGAAAAAGGATTTGCAGTCATTATCATTAAAATATATGAAATTCATTTGCTGCATCGTTGACAAGCTACTGAGCAAGCTATTGATGAAGAGCAAAGAAGTTAAAGCCAGATGCATACAAAGTGCTTATAGGAAAATATTACTTAGCTGATTTTGTAACAGCAAGTCCTTTAAAATGTAGCATCTTTGTATTTTGTGATGAGATAGGTAATATCAATATACTTCTACCACACAAAGTTGTCTTCAACAAAGGAACTAAAAATTGATAGTCATTTTCTTTTTGCAGAAAGACAAATTGTCGAAATTTGCTGAACTTTATGTGTTAATTGGTTTTAGTAGATACTACCTTGTAGAGATTTTTGAAAAATATCTTTAAATATGGCCATTCAAGATACAGGCAATGTTTTAACAATGAATGGGAAAGTAACACCTTCTTAGAAGAAAAGCTGTGCTACAGGGAGAACATTTTTGAAATACACATTTGAAAATGTTATTTTAAAACATCATGTATGTCACCTGTTAAAAATCTTCATATCTGCATGTTTGATACATTTAAAATGGAATGTCCTGGCTGGACGTGGTGGCTCACACCTGTAATCCCAGCACTTTGGGAGGCCAAGGTGGGTGAATCACCTGAGGTGAGGAATTTGAGACCAGCCTGGCCAAGATGGTAAAACCCTATCTCTACTAAAAAGACAAAAATTAGCTGGGCGTGGTAGCATGCGCCTATAGTCCTAGCTACTCGGGAAGCTGAGGTAGGAGAATTGCTTGAAAACCTGGGATGCAGAGGTGAGTTGAGATCACACCACTGCACTCCAGCCTGGGTAACAGAGTGAAACTGTCTAAAAAAAAGAAAAAACAAAAAAAAACCCAGAATGTCCTAACCTAGCTAAAAATATCTACGAAGTTGTGGTGATTTTAGCATACAATTTTTAAAAACAGAAATTTGGCCTGGTGTGGTGGTTCATACTAGTAATTCTAGCACTTCAGGAGGCCAAGGCAGGAGGATTGCTTGAGGCCAAGAGTTCAAGACCAGCCTGGGCAACATAGATCCTATCTCTACACAAAATACAGAAATTAGCCACGTGTGGTGGCATATACCTGTAGTCCTAGCTGCTACCTACTTGGGAGGTTGAGATGAGAGGATCTCTTGAGCCCAGAAGTTCAAGGCTCTAGTGAGTCATGGTTGCACCACTGCACCCCAGCCTGGGCAACAAAGCAAGACCCTATCTCTTTAAAAAAAAAAAAGAAATATATATACATATATGTATTTTTAAAAGTCCCTCTTTCTAAGGGGTAGGGTATATCATGAAAATGTATTAAAGTATTAGAGCAATTGAATTATATATATAATTACATGTACTATATAATTGTAATATTGTATATAATTGCATATATGTAATATATAATTATAGATATTTAAATATGTAATATACAATATATAATTTAATTGCACATAATTATATATTCATATATGCAATTAATATTATTCACATTATTAAAACATTAGGGTTCATAACATTTACATTCTGTTGTGCAACCATAATTTCTTTTGTTTTAGTCATAGTTCTACAGTTGAATGAATTCAAAGCTTACCTCCAGGCCTTTCGCTGTGGTTTCTGCTTAGCTGAAGTTTATCCTCAACAAGGGGTCATAAGAATTATATTCCCCACTGTCCTTCATGTTCAGAAATGCTTATCTGGGTCATTGTACTTGAATAAAAATATGTAATGGATTGGACCTTTCTCTTACATTTCTTTATTGAGCTATATCTGCTGCTGTCTCATGTCCTTTTGTTATTTTGCTATATCTTGTTATTTGGTAGTGTCCCCCATCTACTTTCAGCTCTTGTTTTATAGGGGTGTTTTCTTTATTAGTGGAAATAGTGATTTTTTCTGATTTTAGTTTTAAATGAGTGATTGCTTGGGGGAAGCTAATTATAACTTTTTCCACACAAATTAATGAAAGGAAGTTTTCTACCAAGAGAAAAGTTGTGAGGAACAAGTTACTTTGATAAGCCAATTTATACCTCATATAAAAACCAAAATTAAAATTGCTACTCATTTGTATGTCTAAAGATATTATAAAATCTTTAATACTTGGATTTCAAAATTTGAGGCTTTTGTTCAGTGTTTGAAACTTAAAACTTTCAGCTGGTGTGGTGGCTTACTTATACCTGTAATCCAACACTTTGGGAGGCTGAGAGGGGCAGATCACTTGAGACCAGCCTGTGTAACATGGCAAAACCCTGTCTCTACTAAATACACAAAAATTAGGCCAGCATGGTTGTACACACCTGTAATCCCAGATACTCAGGAGGCTGAGGCACAAGAATTGCGTGAATCTTGGAGGCAGAGGTGAGCCAAGATGGCACCACTGCACTCCAGCCTGGATGACAGAGCAAGACTCTGTCTCAAAAAAAAAAAGTTTCCTTTCCTCTTAGTGCTGGTAGTCACAGTTTGTGTATTCGTGTGTTAAAATAGCCGAGGCTATATCAAAGATGATGTTTCATTATTAATCAGAATTTCTACCCACTAAAAATGGCAGACGTCAAGAGACTTAAGAGCTGTTTGTATTATAGTACTGTTTGTACTTTAGAATTAATGTTAGATCTAATAGTCTTTCTAGCAATTAAAAATTAAATAAGAAATGTCTTTTCTCTTTAACACTAATAAAACTTGTTGAAAATTTTGTAGCACTATCTTTTGTTTTTAATGTTCAGAAATCTTCATGACTCTAAGGAGTAAAGTTAAAACTCTTTAACCTGGCTTTCCAACATCTGGTCTCTTTTCCAACATCTGGTCGCCTTTTCAGACTCATCTTTCATCATTCCCAAATTCCTGTGTTTCCCTTGGCATGGTCCTTGTTCCTTTGATTATGTGATGTGCATTTATAGTTCATTCTGTTTCTCTTGCCTAGCAGTGCCTTTCCCTACTCCTTACCTGTCTAAATACCCAGAGACAGTAAAATTCTGTTTTCTTTGTGGTTTAGTTTATTTCTTATAAACTAGGAATGAGTACTTTCAAATACAGTCAGGAGCTTCATAGCCACATGTGGCTTTGCTTTCCATTTTTTCTCTGACTACGTGTGATTTTCATGGATTAATCTCTGATGGTCTCTTTTTGCTTTATTTTGGAGGCATTTTCAGTTCATGATTTAGCTTCGGCTGTCATTGGGAAGCTGGCTTAATGTTCTTTCTTGACTTTGCCCGCCATCAACACCCTGTGGTATTTCTGGCTGGCATTTTTCTCTGCATGGATATGTTTGCTTCTCCATGCCTAGGAGCCTTCTCCGTTTCATTGTAAGCACGGCGATTTGTGCATTCCCACCACCTGGCAGTTGGCAAAAAGCTCTGGGAAGCCGCTTTTGCTTCCCAGTCATGAGATGAAATGTAAATGTGCATAAGGTCCATGCCCTGACCCAACGTCCAAGATTCTGAGTGCATAGGCGGATTGCCATGTGCTAAGGTAAAGCGGAAATATCGAAGCACCAAATGCTCCCGTCATGACCGGAGACATTTAAAGTTACATCCTGATATTTTTGGTGGAAGAATCTCATTCTTAATATTACACAAGGGAAGGTCAAAGGATATAGGACATATAACTCTCCTTTTTTGAATATTAGAAATTGGGTGAAAATAAGAATGTCATTGCTTGTTGAATAGATATTTTCAAAGTCAGAGTATTAGTGGGGGCTGGGGCTTAGGAATGCAATTGTAAAAGAGAGTGATGGATATTCTCTTGGCAGAAAAATTATATAGACCTCATATCACAGCCATTATAGAGTTAAGGATTGTCATGCGCTTGGGTAAAACAAATGAATAGGCCCTTCTGTTGTGCTGATTGGAAGAGTCTTACAGAGCTGAGAGCCTAAGGGAAAGCGATTTCAGAAACATTTATTTTTTCAAGCCATTTGCATCTCTTTTGAAATGTTAGTTATCACTATAGTTTTTAGCTTCCTGTAATTCCTTTCTGCCAGTAGCCAACTAGTTGAGTATCATTTTCCAGGTCTATCTCTAGCAAGAGAAAGTTTCCCAGTCATTATTTTGTGCTTCAGAATGATTCTATGTGTAATTATGCAACTTCAGTAAGATCACAGTTATTAAAGTGAGCGCCTACTTTAGTGACTATGGCTATTGGTCTTTGACTATCTGCATGCTTCTGGGTATAGAAAAATACAAGAGAAACTAGAAATCATACCTCATTCTTTGTAACCATACATAGATGACTGTTAAGTCATCAGCTATACCTTCTGTGTGAGTGGCATGACCAAAGAAGTAGACTTCCTGAGGTCTCTCTTTTTTTTTTTTTTTGATACAGAGTCTTGCTCTTTTGCCCAGGCTAAAGTACAATGGTGCAATCTTGGCTCACTGCAATCTCCACCTCCCAGGTTCAAGCAATTCTCTGCCTCAGCCTCTTGAGTAGCTGAGATTACCGGCGCCCACCACCATGCCCAGCTAATTTCTGTTGTATCTTTAATAGAGACAGGGTTTCACCATCTTGGCCAGGCTGCTCTTAAACTCCTTGACCTCATGGTCCACCCGCTTTGGCCTCCCAAAGTGCTGGATTTACAGGCATAAGCCACCATGTCTAGCCGCCAATCTTTATTTCATGAAATTTTGTGTCTTCTCTGCAGTGGAAATGCCTTAGTTTTTATTTCAATGTTTTTGTTTCAAAATTATATTGTGAGATTCCCTTTTCTGATTATTCTCTTGCACATGCTTACAAGATGAGGAGTATGACAGCATGTAAGCTTTTCAAGGTGACCTCAGAATTTTCTCTCTGAGGGACCTCTAGGGACTTTCACATGTGGTATATTGAATCAAATGGTACTTTAAAAATCCAGCTATAGAAATAATTATATTCTAGGCATTTTAAGAAAATACCAATTTTTCAGAGGGTTCTTAATTGATTTTGATTTTTTTTTTTTTTTTTTACTAGTATAAACTTTAATAATGGAGGAATTGAAACTCAGAAGCTGGACCAGGAAACAAGCAGAGAAGAGTAATGACTTCATTACATAGATTTTCAAATAGATTATGTCATTTTGGGTTCCTCAGTTATGCTAACTTATGAAGGATATATTATTAGATTGGAAGGAATATTTAGTCTCTTCATATTTAGAAAGCTCAGACTGTAAGTCCTCTCTTAGTTAAACCCCTCCAGATACAAATTCTACTCATTTGTATAAAGGCCCAGCTGTTAAGATATTTCTTGTCTTGAAAGCTGGCCCTACCCTACACCCTACTCATCCACTTGCAACCCCCAAAAAGGAAATTGTCTTCACCTTCTGCTTAAATCTGTCACAAATATGTTTCTTCTTCATCCTTTTTCATAGTCATTTGTACCCTTGTGTTATTTCCAGTGTCAGAATGGGAGCTAAATGTGAGAAGGCATAGTAGGGTGTTCATCATCACACTCCCCACACTCAGAGCACAGTTTTGTAGGTCTTGAATAGATGACTTCATCTTATGTAAATGGATGGCTTATTTCGTTGAAACAAAAGCAGGCTTTTTATTACTATTACTTGTTTTGCTCTTTAAATACCACACTGGTACCATGTTAAAGTCAGGAGTCTCATCAAGCCCCAGGATGGGAATCAGGAGACTTGAGGTCTAGGCTCAGCACTGCCTCTGACCCATTTTTCCACAAATCAGTGAACCTCTCTGGACTGCACTCTCATCTGAGAAAAGAGGGTGTTGTGTTATAGGATCTGGCAGGTTTCTCCAGCTCTGAAATTCACTGGTGGCGTCATCTATCATGGAGAATGGCATGGCTGTCTCCTTTATTTTCTCTGCGTACCACAGATATTCAGAATCCACCACAGCATGAATATAGATGTGGTCTGTCAGTGTGACAAAGACTGTTCTCAAGAGGAAATTACTGGGTTTGACAGCCACCCAACCCTGGGTTTAGTTTTTGGGATGTCACTATAGCAAGTGTTGTGGCCGGTGTATCCAATTCCTCATCTACATGTATGGCTGAATATGCTGTTCTTGCTGCAATAGCATGAGGGCTATTTTTCTTTTAATTCAGCTGTCACATAGGAAACTGCTGCCATGGTTTCTTTCTATGACCAAATGTTGCTAACCCTTTCAGTCATCCTTGAAGTTATTAATAGCCACACATCATGAATGTATTCATGCCATTTCCTTTATAGAAAAAGGAATCAATTTCTCGTGTTTTTCTTTTGTAGTAGATAGCTGACTTCTAATGGGAATTTTTGATAATATTGAATGTCATATTTATAAAATAAGAGAAATCTGTATTTAATAAAACACATATTTTATGAGATGTTTAACTTTGTTTTAAAGTGCTATGGAAAAGAAGGCCAGGAATTAAGAATTACATCGAAGTTTTGATTGTCCACCTTATATGTAGACTAAAATCACGACCAAAGATTTCCAGTACTACATTTTTATCTATGACAGCAGCCTATGTGCCTTATGTCTGGCTATATTGTCTACCTACCTCCTACCCCATCATTCTCCTCCATCAGGCTACCTCACATGGAGGCATCCTTGACATTCAAAGAGTTCTCCAAAGACCAGTGGCGTCAGCATCAGGGTGCTTATTAGCAGTGCCATATCTCAGGCCCCACTCCAAAGGTACTGAGTCAGACATGTTTACTTTAATATTCCTAGGCGATTTATATGCACATTGAAGTTTGAAAATCACTGGCCTACCCTAGTTGAATTTTGGATAATTAATTAGAGTAAATTATCATTTCTGTTACTTCCTAACTTCAATAGCTTTTTATTGCCTACCAGATAATGTCTAGATTCCTTAGCCTGACATACAAGGCCCAATAGCCAGAAACATACAAGGCCCTGTAGACAGAAACTGCTGTGCCTTTTTTGCATGCCCTCCAGTATTTCCCAGATCAAACATTGTCCTCCGCCATTCTGGTCTTCTTGCCATATACTGCCTCATTTCTCTTCTAGGGTTTTTGTTCATGCCAGGTTCAGTGCTGTCTTTCCTCCTCCTCCTACTTCCCCATCCACATATCTGAATGGTATCCATTCCTTAGCTGAATATTCTTCTATGTAACCTTTCTTTCTTTTGAGACAGAATCTTACTCTGTCACTCTGTCACCCAGACTATAGTGGCATGATCTCAGCTCACTGCAACCTCTGCCTGCTAGGTTCAAGTGATTCTCCTGCCTCAGCCTCCCAAGTACCTGGGATTACAGGCACCTCCCACCATGCCCAGCTAATTTTTGTATTTTTAGTAGAGATGGAGTTTCACCATGTTGGCCAGGCTGGTCTCAAATTCCTGACCTCAAGTGATCTGCCAGCCTTGGAGCCCCAGAGAGCTGGGATTACAGGCATGAGCCACTGCACCTGGCCCTATGTAGCCTTTCTTTATCACTCTGGCCCACAGAATATCTTTCCTCTTCCTTAGAACTCCTGTGACACTTGCCATATTGACATATCTAATAGTAGCAACCGCAACACCACTGGCAACTAATATTTACTTAGTGTTTTCCATGTGCTAAGCACTGTGCTGAACGAATCCTCACAGGAAACTCGGGTTGGGCTCTGTCTGCCCCCATTTTACACATGAGAAAAAAGCTCAGAGAAGTCTAAGAACTTGCTCAAGGCCATCAGCTGGTGACTAATGGAACCAAGATTCAAACCCAAGGAGGCTGCCTTTCCAGCTTGTGCTCTTAATCACTGTTATATTCCTTTCTCGCTTCTTTTGACAGTGTAAAGACCCTGAAGGTAGAAACCATTGCTTTTTTTAAAAAATTTTTTATTGCATTTTAGGTTTTGGGGTACATGTGCAGAACATGCAAGACAGTTGCATAGGTACACACATGGCAGTGTATGTTTTGCTTCCTTTCTCCCCTTCACCCACATTTGGCATTTCTCCCCAGGCTATCCCTCCCCAGCTCCCCCCCCCCGCTGGCCCTCCCCTTTCCCTACCAATAGACCCCAGTGTTTAGTACTCCCCTCCCTGTGTCCATGTGTTCTCATTTTTCATCACCCGCCTATGAGTGAGAATATGCGGCATTTCATTTTCTGTTCTTGTGTCATGCTTTTGTATCCCTCCATTGCCTAGCATAAAACGAGGAAGCAAGGCCAATTCACTCTGCCCTAAGAGCATTCTTGAGGTGCTGGTTGCATGATTATATGGCTTTTCCCTGTTCCTATGAAGTGGTTTGGTTTGGATTGTTATACTTGAGATTTCATTTGAAAAAATATACAAAAGGAAGCTGATGCAACATTTTATCCATCAAACTGTAGAAGGCATTCCAGTTCAGATTGCTCTGATAGGAACCCATGTGTTATGCATCTTGCCTATGGAATTATATCACAAGACCAAAGTATTTGCCAAATAAATTATAAAAGCAAAATATATTGAAAATTGCTGAATGGAGTTTTATCATAATTTTAACTGGAGTGGGAGTGCTAAACGTAATTCATGATTTTCTCTTCATAAGGCAGGATTATACTTTGATTCACTTGGAAGACTCTTTAATCAGTTACTCTGAGTTTAGCGTTGTGTTTTATAAATTCCAGCTGGGCCACATTATCTGCTCTCCTCTCCTTGGTTACAACCTGCTGCTGGAGAAAATCAGGGCAAAGCAGTGGTCAAATCCACTGCAGACTTAGTGTGAAGCCTTGTAGCTCCTGCGCTTGCTCTTGCCTCTGCCTATCCCAGTCCTTGAAACGACTGATGATGGCTCCTTTGGTAGACTCCGGCTCACGCATTTCCTAAGCCAGCCCCAGGAAAGGCAGAACAAGTACTAACACGAGTAACCTTTACTTTCCCCCCTACTCTTCCTGTTTATCACTCACTTCTACCTGCCTCCCACTCATGGAATTTTTAGAATTTTACAATCCCAGGACTGATTACTGGTGCCTAGACATGGATACTGGACTCTTGTCATCATTCCCTACCCTCCTCCTTTCTCCCAGTGCCATATCCTCCACATGCCACAGTTCTAGTCTCCTTAGCTGCCAATAAGCCCAAGAATCAATGTTGACACCACTTTTTCTTCCTTATCTTCGCTTAGAACCCAGGCCTCTGTCCAAGGCCTTTTGTTCTGACCCATACTGTGGACCCGCACTGTTAAATGGGCTCTGGAGCTTGGGCCTGCGCTTGGCTGATCTGAGATCCAAAGCTTACTTACCACTTGCCTTCTTTCTTTCTTTCTTTCTTTTTTTTTTTTTGACAGAGTTTTGCTCTTATTACCCAGGCTGGAGTGCAATGGCGCAATCTTGGCTCACTGCAACCTCCGCCTCCTGGGTTCAGGCAATTCTCCTGCCTTAGCCTCCTGAGTAGCTGGGATTACAGGCATGCACCACCATGCCCAGCTAATTTTTTTTTGTATTTTTAGTAGAGACGGGGTTTCACCATGTTGACCAGGATGGTCTCGATCTCTTGACCTCATGATCCACCCGCCTCGGCCTCCCAAAGTGCTGGGATTACAGGCATGAGCCACCGCGCCTGGCCTACCTTCATTCTTTAATGCATCTGCCTCCCCATATACATTCCACAGTGAATTAGTTTCTCTCTCTCTCTCTCTCTCTCTCATCAAGTGTAATGTCTGAGAAATCGCTAAACTCTGCTATCCATCTTCCTGGATCTCTTGCTTAGATCACTTGGTGCCGGCCTTGATCCCAGAATGGGACCATGTCACCATGTTGGCCAGGATGGTCTCAATCTTTTGACCTCATGATCCGCCTGCCTCAGCCTCCCAAAGTGCTGGGATTACAAAGTGTTTGGGCTACCAGAATCTGTCTTCTGTACTCAGTTCCCCCACCCTGGTCCTGAGTCATTCCAGAATGCCTTCTGTTTCACGTAGAGATCTGGTATGCCTGTCACAGAGGTCATCAATTACTATCCAGGAGAAATGTAACTCAGCTGGCTACAGTTTCCCATTAGAGGGATGGCAAGTAGTTGACATGCCTGCCACTGACCTCTCCTTTACCTGTGGCTGCCCACTTCTGCAGAACTCAAGAGTTCTTGGTATAATTCCCCAAGCCAACTCAGAGTTGTCATATGAGATGAAATCTCTTCTTTTCTCTGTAAGGATTTATTCTCTGTGATAGTTGTACCAAACCTTCTCCTCTACTGTGCTTTGCAGATGGTCTTACCTTTTTCTTCATGGAGATAATCATGGTCTCTTCTTGGGTTTACTGCCTTTTCTTCACCTCTCAAGTTTTCTCTATGCAAAAGAGAGAATTTTATTTCTAAGGAAAATTCTTTTTTTCCTAATTCCTCTTTTTTTCTGGTCTCATCTCTTTCCCCACGCTCCCCTTTTTGTTTTTGGAGACGGAGCCCTGTCTATCGCCAGGCTAGAGTGCAGTGGCGCAATCTTGGCTCACTGCAGCGTCCACCTCCCAGGTTCAAGATTTTCTCCTGCCGCAGCCTCTCAAGTAGCTGGGACTACAGGCACCTGCCACCATGCCCAGCTAACGTTTTATATTTTTAATAGAGATGAGTTTCACCATGTTGGCCAGGATGGTCTCAATTTCTTGACCTCATGATCCACCACCTCAGCCTCCCAAATTGCTGGGATTATAAGCATGAGCCACCATGCCCAGCCCTCTTCCCCCTTTTCTTAATCTAAGATGTTTCTCCATTAGTCATTCTTATTTTTGTTTATAATGCCCATCCCTGCCTGAAGATATACTCACATCCATCCTAGAAAGCTGCTGTCCCCAACTAAGTGCCTTCAGTTCCCCCTGTTCTTTTTCGCCGGGTTCATTGTTGCCAGCTTCTCACAGCATTCAGCACCCTGCCTAGACAACCAGTCCTTGATTCTCGCTCTTCCCCTGCTTTCATTGCGTTTTTCACTGCAGTGACAGTGGGTCCCATTCATTGATTGCCCACTGCATATTACCTTACTTAGCCCTTGCAGTGACTCTCCACATCAACTGGTATTTCTGTCCATTTTACAGATAAAGCTGAGAGTCCTTTATTGCTAAATTCAAGCCAAACTGAACTAATTTTCAATTTTTTTTTTTTTTTTTTTTTTTGGTCAAAGAAAAGAAGTCACAGAACTGAGCCCCTAGGGCAATCAGAATTTTTTATTTGATTATAATCATGTTGCTGGTACCTGTTAATGGTCAAGTGTTTTCATAACCTCAAAACGTTATTTTCTTATTTAGGAATGCCACTGCCTAGTAGTAATGATGGAGTAGACTGAATTTACACATAGAATAAAATGTCTGCGTTCCCATGTTAATTGCAGCACTCTTCACATTAGCTGAGATATGGAAACAATGTAAGTGCCCGCCATTGGATGACTGGATAAAGCAATTGTGGTATACCTGTACAACAGAATATTATTCAGCCTTAAAGGAAGTCCTGCCATTTTTGACAGCATGGGGGAATTTGGGGACATTATGCTAAGGGAAAGAAGCCAGATACAGAAAGATAAATATTGCATGATATTACCTTTATGTGAAATCTTGAATAGTCAAATTTAGCAAAACAGAGTAGAATGGTAGTTGGTAGGGGCTGCAGAGTGTGGAAGGTGGGGAGATGTCGGTCAAAGGATACAAACTTTCAGTTGTAAGATGAATAAATTCTAGTGATCTAATGTACAGCGTGGTAACTATAGTTAATGTGTTGTGTACTTTACATTTGCCAAGGATGTAGACCTTAAGTGTTTTCAACACACACACACACACACACACACAGGCACGCACACGTGTGAACCACGTCAGGTGATGGATATGCTACTTAGCTTGACCGAGTCATTACACAAAGTATACTTTTATCAAAATGTTATCTTGTATACCTTAAATATACACAATTTTTTTTCAGTCTTACCTCAAAATATGTCTACACAGACTTAGTATCATTCATGAGTCATGTTAAAGGATATATTTAGAAACAAAAATACATAAAAAATGCTTTTCTTAACCCAAGTCTTATTGTTAAGATTCCTCATAATCCATTCATAACTTCAGTTATAAATCCTTGCCTTGGTATATCAAGACTTGTTCAAGAAGAGGAAGGGGTAGGAGGGTTTCACTCTTGTTTTCTCCTTGTAAAAATTTAACTGTGTTTGCAGGAGAGAGTATTTGACAAATACATGAACAAATGAATGAATGAAATGAGCAAAGAAATGGAATTAATCTGATAGAAGTTTGCATGTTCAAATTATGTGTTAAGTTGGATAGAGCAGCTGCTGGTCCTTACTCTTTTTCTGGGCCTATTTCAAATGCTCTTCTTTACTAGGCTTTAAATTGCAGATTTAGACTTGGAGGCCTTAACAAATATGAATTGAGTACACATTTGTATAGAGATTTAAACTGCTGTTCTTACAAAATTGTCACAGTAGTTTTAAATTCCGTCAGAAGGCTTTTAATCAAACCCCATCAGAGTCAACTTTGATTCTTTGGATGGTACTTTCTTTTTCTTTCTCTCTTTCGCATTGTCTAGTAAAGCAGTTTCTTCAATGACCAGTTTTGTCATAGAGTTGGTGCCATTTATCCTGTAGTTACAAATTTATCATCACAGGTAGCTAGATGTACTTCTCATAGACAGCTTGTATCCACACATTGGTGGTTTTTTTTCCCATTTTTTCTTGAGCCATTCTCCCCAGAAAACACAAATTGGTTGTTTTGGGGGGAAAAATTAGACTGTTCTTCAGGGATATTTATTTTCATATGATTCATTGTGCAGAGAATGGAGTTGTGCCCTAAGGGCTCGGTCCTGCTCTCTTGATGCTGGTATCCATTGCTAGGTGTGGCTCAATTTAACGGGAAGGACAGCTAGATGGCATATATATCCACATGTCAGATGGCAGCATCCATCTTTGAAACAGGAATCTTGGTGGGAAAAGTTCAATTTTTTAACAAATGTGAAATCATCTCAATCATTTTTATTTCCAATTAAATTAATGTCTGATATAAACACTGTAGGCTAGCAGAGTATTTGATACCATTTGGTTTGCTCTCTCTTTTAGTTTCTAATTTTCATTGTAGTTCTTAGGGTTTGCTTTTTGAGTGTGAGTTTATGGCGGAATAAATCACATTAGCTTTGGTGGGTAGATTGAGTTTTCTCTAATGACCTTTACTAACCAACACACATTTTCCTCTTAGGCAAAAAAGCCAGAGTGGATTGTTGTTTATTTGACTGACAAAGAAGGCATTTCTCATTTTCTTTAGTGACTGAAATAAGTTGTTTCACCATAAATTAAATGTGAAATAAATGTATGATCCTCTCAGTGAACCAGATTGAGAGCCAAGCACCTTTGTAGTAGATCTCTTTCACCAGTTGGTGGTGCCAAAAACTCTGCTAAGAGACTGATTAAAAGAAGAGAAGGTTAACCTATTGAGAAGGAGCCTTTCTCAATAAGCGTTATTTTCATAGCTTTTGAAAAATTTGTACTAAAAACATATGCCCAAATTATCACATTTTAGAAGGTTAGGAAGCAAACCCAATCCCTCTGGTGACCTGCAGAATGCACTTCTAGTAAGCTTCTGTTATGATGTCATTGGCCCATGTTAATATGCACATACTGGAAATTGCAAAGTTGTGTCACATATGACTCCATCCTAGAAATAGCTTTTAGTCTGCTTGCCTGGTGAATAGAGGCAATAATGTATACAGAGTAGAGTGATGTTCCTGGATATATTTATTGTCAAATTTAGGTCTTTAAGAATATTGACTTGTGTTATTATTAATAGGATTTCTTGAACATTAATACATTCCTGTGATGGCAGGAACATTCCTTTTTCTTTTTTTGAGACCAGAGTCTTGCTCTGTTGCCGAGACTGGAGTGCAGTGGCACAATCTTGGCTCACTGTAGCCTCTGCCTCCCTGGTTCAAGTGATTCTCAAGCCTAAGCCTCCCAAGTAGCTGGGTCTACAGGTATGCACTACCACGCCTGGCTCATTTTTGTATTTTTAGTAGAGACAGGGTTTCATTACATTGGCTAGGCTGGTCTCCAACTCCTGGCCTCAGGTGATCTTGCCTGCCTCAGCCTCCCTAAGTGCTGGGATTACCGGTATGAGCCACCACCGTGCCCAGCCTTTCATAACTGTCTGTTAATTACTTATATAGATTATCTACTGCTCAGTTTTTCCAATTTATAAAATGGAGATAATAGCATCTTTCCCTCAGAGTTGGCGTAAACATCACCTGAGATCACAGATGTGCTGCTTAGTTGCTCCTCACCCTATTCTTTTCTGGTTTGAAGCTCAGACTCAGTTCTTCCTGAGCCTCCACCACATCTCCTGCTCTTGGCCAAGGCCTAAGGACAGGAGTCCCTCCTGTGTCTGATGATGCCTCCTGCTGCATTTATGAGAAGATTTTTCCAGGTTGTAAAGTTCCACAAGGATTTTGTAAAGACTCACAAAAGAGATACTCGTATTATTAGGTGTATGTGGTGTTCAGATGTTTTCCCATCTACCCTGGGATGTTTACATGTTGATCTGAATCTGCCTAAATGTTTCAGATTGGAGAAGGGGGCACATGATTGCTGGCAGGTGTAGCAGTGGTGCCCACAACAGTGCATTCATCCATTTCTTCCACAAACTTTTACTGAACATTATTATTGCTGGGTCTCTGGCCTACAAAGATGAATTCCCACAGAGCATGAAGATGCTTCTGAGAACTGCAGACTCAAGAAGCAGGATTCTTTCTGCTTGGCAGGAATTGATAGGCAGCCCTTTTCTATGGAAGAGCAAGAAAGATACATTTAAATATTTAAAAAATATTATTTTTAATATAATAAAGAATGAACAAATCAGAAGAAGGCTTCAGTGTGGTTGGTAAAATCATAAAACACTATGAATTAGGAGCTTTCGCCAGTAGAGAATTTTAAAATACAACTGTCTAAGGTATATATATTTTTAGGACTAGCACAACTAACATCTTTGATTAGATTCATTTGAAAGATTCAGACCGTTAAGATTTAGAGATTACAGAATCATAGAATTGGATGGTGGCAGGGACTTTAGGAGTCACATATGCCATCTCTCTTATTTTCTAGCTAAGAAAATGGAAGTCAAACAAACGTATATGGCGCACCCAAGGTTACATGGACCTGGATCAAAACTCAGGTCCCCTGACTTTCAGTTCCATGCCAAGGCGTTATTCTTCCATCCTAACTCCTATACAATGAGCCATTTTCATTAGATATACACTTGTTCCATCTCAATTAACCTTCATGCTAACTATGGAGTATTATGTCTGCCCAGTTACCAGAATGAAAACTTTGGCTGTACCTTTGGCAGTTAATGAAGGTGCTCCTACTTCCATCTCAGAGCTGAGCTGAGGGGAGGCAGGGCACACCAGGCCTGTCATGTGCAGTTCTCAGTCAGAGCCAACGAGTTCCCCACAGAAGCAGGCAGCGTTTTCATTCACGCCTGCCTTGTCTGCTTCTCGTTTCTTGCTAGATGAATGGCATCATATGCTGCAGGTGTATTAGTAATTTCTGAGTTTGTTCTCCACTAAAAATGACCTCATTGTTTTGTGCTTCTTTTCCATAATTATACAGTAACAGGAAAATAAACCAGCTCTGAGTACAGCCTACAGCAGAAATCTTGTGCTCTTTATGCAAGTTTGATTTATAGACGTGTACTGCAGAGCAGAGTGACTATGAAACATTCATCTTCCCATTGCTAGTTGCCATGGAAATCGAGTACACAGAGCAGTGTCATTCCAGTCCTGGTGATGCCTGCAGTAGTTTATTCCTTTGTTGTTCCCGTTTCTTAAGCAACTGCCTAGCATTCTTTCATCGTTACAATTAATCATGCACACAAGGTTTTATCTTTCGTCACACGTAGAAAGTACTAAAAATATATGACAAAAATAGGGAGAATTTAAATATTCCTATGGCTTTAAATATGCATTTGTAATTTTCACCCTCAGTCCCATTGGAAAAGTAGGTCATGTAAAAGAGAAAAGCATGTATTAATGTTCAGATAGTTCAATAAAGAGCGCAGTATAGAAATTTGAGGGAAAAACAATGCTAAGCCCAGAAAGCCCAAGAAAGCTTAAGGAACTTCAGATTCTGAGGTTCCCCCAGGATTTAGATCTAAATAAACCTGGGCAATGCCAACCAAAGAAAAAAAAAAAAGCCCTTGAGCTATGTATAATCAACTCCTGTTTTGTTTTGTTAGTCTCCTTAATGGTTTGAACAATCTAAATATTTGCTGGATAGACATGGTAGATGTTAGAAAAGAGATCCTTTTTTTTAAGGGCCAATAAAGTTCAGGATTTTTTTTAAGTGGAAGTAAAAGGAATTCTAGTTTTGTTTTGTTTTTTTTTTTCAGTGAAATCACTTTACCTCAGTTTTATCCCACATGGTTCATAGTATATACCATACCAACAATGAATAAATGCTTGTTGATTAGCCACTGTCGTCTTTGGTGCACTTCTTGCCATTCCGTTGTCTAAGAATAATTGTCTGGATCTCAATCCCTGCTACATTGCTTATCAGCTGTGAGACCTTTGAAAAGTATCTCAGCTTGCCTTAGTTTCCCCATCTGTAGAGGGAGCAGCTATAAAATGAAGATAATGACGGGTTGTTAAGACGCTTAATAGGGATAATTCGTGCAAATGGCTCAGCCCTGTGCCTGGCACAGGACACGTGCTCTGTCAGTGGGGACTGCTGCCGTGGCAGTGGTGATAGTGGTGATTTCTATTGCCATGACTACTACAGGCCACAACTGAGTGCAGAACTGTGCTTTGACCTAGAGAGTAATACACTGTTGATCTACAGGAATTCCAGCCCCAAAGCCACAGGACTCTGTTCCCAGCATCTAAGCTCACAGGATGATTGCTGGTGCTTTGTTTTGCTTGGGCTACTTGTTTCATCTCAGGACTTTGGATACTAGGATGGTGTCTGAGAAGTGTTTACAAGGGTCTTTTTATCTGTGAATTGAGAAGAGAAGGCTGCTACAGGCAGTCCTTGAAGATGCAAATTTTTCATCTTTGACCTGGATTTGTTTCTTAAAAGGAGCTGTGTGTGGAGCACGTTGGGAGGGAGTGGGCTGCCTTTAAATGTCTTGAGGAAGGTTCTTGTGTTTGTCTACAGAGTCTGAAATAACGTCTGACCTGCTGCCTCTCACCCCCAAATCCCCACTTGTCACTCAGCAGTGGCTGCAGCATTCCTTCAGCCTTTCTGGAATTGAAGTTTTCCTAACTGGTGGCAGAAGCATTCTTTGTTGAAATTCAGTCTCCTTGGCAGTTCTCCAGGGCACACGGCAATGCCTATTTGTTTGATTTAGCTTTTGTTTGGTTAGCCTTGTATTTTGTCTGTTTTGCTTTGTGAAGTTCTTTTTTCTCCAAATTTTCATGTTTAAATCCCATGGACTTCACTTTTATTTATTTTACTAGCTTGCTTTAAAATACTGCTAAAAAGTTGTTTGCTTTACGTTACCACAAAATGAGTAGTTTTGGATTCATTTGTCTTTTTCCCCCAAGCCTGATCCATAGTGTGTGTACTAGGTGCACTGTTGTTAATGATTAAAAGAAAATAGCCTTTATAGATTGCACTTTGTACATCCTAATATTATACCACATTGTCTCCAGTTCTCTTTATTTAGCTTTGTTTTTTCCCTGTCCTCCCATGTTTATTCTAAAGGGATAGAAGTAGCTTAACTTTTCTGAATTTTTTCTTCTCTCACCTCTGCTCTTCTTCCTGCTTCTCCCCACGAGATAAAAACCTGTCCGACTCTCCTGTCTTCCAAGCGATGCTGGCGACACTCTAAGTGACATGAGTGCCCTAAGACACCCATTTTTTTTTGGTAACTAAGCATTCAGTGACTGAAACTTAGGCCTTCTCTAGACATTTTTATTTATTTATTTATTTTTGAAACAGATTCTCAATTTGCCCAGGCTGGAGGGTAGTGACACAATCTCAGCTCATTGCAGTCTCTACCTCATGGTTCAAGTGATTCTCATGCCTAAGCTTCCTGAGTAGCTGGGATTACAGGTGCCCACCACCACGCCCAGCAAATTTTTGTTTTTAGTAGAAATGGGGTTTCACCATTCCATGTTGGCCAGGCTGGTCTTGAACTCCTGGCCTCTAGTGATCTGCCCGCCTTGACCTCCCAAAGTGCTGGGATTACAGGCATGAGCCACTGCAACCAGCCACTAGATATTTTAAATCCTCTCGAGACCTCTGATTGTATGTGTGGCCTTCACCTCACACTCAATGTGGCCACCATGCACTCTTGCCTTCTTTTTGTCCCCTAATCACTGTAAGAGAGATCTTTGCCCTTGCTCTTTTATTCTCAGGCTTGTATCTTTCTTTGTTTTGCGAACGAATATTTGTTAGAATCTTCTGCATTGCAGACACTGGGATTATATGAAAATGAACAAGATAGACACAGCTCTGCCCTCTAGGAGCTTAGAGTCTAGTTGAGGATATAGGTGGTTAGAATCCAAGATGGTTAATCCTGAAAGATGACTACAAAATGCTATGGACAAGAAGAATGCTTAATGCAGACTGGGGAGGAGGCACCAAGGCTGACTTCAGAGGAAGTGATGGCCTGCATAGACTTTGCCTCAGCCAGGCAAGGCATATTCTGGACAGTAAGCATCTGCAGAGGTCAGTGGGAGAACATGAATAACTGAGAGTTATTACACATGATTAGCCTACTATCAAATATACCTATTTTTTCTTTTTTTGATGAGTGGATTGAACCAGAAGGATGAATGCAGAGTCAGAAGACTGGAGAGATAGACTGGGCCAGATGATAAGGGTCTTGTAAGCTTTGTCGAAGAGTTCAGGCTTTATCCTGAGGATATCAGGAAGCCATCGAAATGTTATATGTAGGCCTGTTGCCCAGGCTGGAGTGCAATGGCAGGATCTCAGCTCACTGCAACCTCCTGGGTTCAAGTGATTCTCCTGCCTCAGCCTCCCAAATAGCTGGGATTACAGGCACCCACCACCACACCTGGCTAATTTTTTGTACTTTTAATAGAGAGGGAGTTTTACCATGTTGGCCAGGCTCGTCTCAAACTCCTGTCCTCCGATGATCCGGCCCACCTTGGCCTCCAAAGTGCTGGGACTTCAGATGTGAGTCCCATGCCTAGCCGATGTGATCAGACTTATAGTTTACATGATCTCTCATAGTGTAGTGTGGAGAATGGATTAAATTGTGGCCAGAAGAGCCTCTATTTGGGCTGATCCTAGGGACCACTTTCCCAACTTAACCTTCTCTTGAGCCCCGCTGGGCTTGTGCAGCCCAGCATGTGTTTTTCTGATTAGCATAAGGGCTAATCTCAAACATCAGCTCCCTTTCTCTAGCTTCCTGCCTTAGAGGCTGGGACTGTATCTTCTCCCTTGCTTTGGGCTGGCTCTTGCTCTACACTAAATGTGTCATCTGAAGCACCAACTAGATCCTGGTTTTACTGTTGGCCAGAGAGTCTGTTGTTTTGTGCACTATCTTGGCTCCCCTGGGATTTAGGCGCCAGCTTAGATATAGCCTGAGTTCAGTGATCTCCTTTGACCCCTGAAATTCATTGCCATTTACACGGTTGGTCCTTTCTGCTCAGCCAGTCTGGAAAAACCTGCTGCTGAGGAAATCCCCCTAGCCCTCTCTTTCCCACTCGTAGTTGAGTATCCTAGATACTTCACCATTGATCTCCATTGTATACCTATATAGAACAATACATTGGATAAGATGGATTGAGGTAAGGTGAGGGGAACTAGCCTGCAGGTTGAGTATCTCTTATCCAAAGTGCTTGGGACCAGAAATGTTACAAATTTTTTATTTTTTCAGAATTTGGAACATTTGCATATGCATAATGAGATGTCATAAGAATGAGACCCAAGTCTAAATACAAAATTCATTTGTTTCATACATACCTTACACACAAAGCCTGAAAGTAATTTTATACAATATCTTTCATAATTTTGTACACAGAAAGTTTGTCTTAAGTACCTATGTGTGGAATTTTCCACTTGTGTTGTCATATTGGTGCTCAGAAAGTTTGAGATTTTGGATTTCCAGAGCAAGTTACTTCTCTGTGCCTCAGTTTCTTCATTTATAAACTACAGGTGTTAAGAGAACATACATCAGAGTTGTTTGGAGGATTAAGTGAGCAAATGCCTATAGAAACACTGTGCCTGGCCCATAATTCGCTCTCACTACGTATTCATGTTGTTATTACGGTGTCTAGACTTAACCCTAGGGAGAATGGGAGAACATAAAACGTTTTTGACTTCAGGAATATTTGACAGCAGCTAAATGGGTATTAATCTTGAAAGGTCCACCCCTCCTCTTCACTATGAATAATTGAGAGATGACGGTGGTATCACATCCTGCCCAGCTGGGGGGCTGTTCCAGTGAGTGAGTAGATGTGAGGGAGAGATAAAAATAGCTCACTGATATCTAGTGCTCACTGTGTGCCAAGCCCTGTTCTAAATGTGTTACTTGCATGAATTCATTTGATCCTCACAATGACCCCATGAGGTGGCTACTGTGATTATTCCCATTTTACTGATGAGGCAACAGGTACAAAGCAGCTGAGTGACTTAGCTAAGACCCCGTTAACTGCTGGAATTTGGCTTTAACCAGACAGTCTGACTCCAGATTGGAAACACAAGTAGATCCAGCCACCGTGTAAAGGAGGGTCTTTGCCTTTCCTTTTTCTGTCTCCCCACAGGTGTACCTTTAGAAAGGGATTTTGAATCTCTTTATCAATCAGATCTATTACAGTCTGTAGATTTTGAAGGAACCATTTTAGTTAAGGGCCTTTCCAGTTCAATTTCAATAGAATAAAGATCTAGACAGTATATAAATTTTCATAGTAAAACATAGAGCTATATAATCTATGGCCATAACCCTTTTCATAGCCTCAAGGTTGGGAATATATGAAAACGCTTTAGCTGAATTGTGCATTCTTTTTATAAAATCCCTGATTTCTGGCAATTTGGTCATACAGTCTTTTGATAAAAATATCAAAAACCTCATACTGCAATACTATAAAATGTGACTGTGTTAATGGCCAAAAACATCTGTATTTCAGACTGTCATGAACTGTTTAAACATCATATAATAGGAAACATTTATGGCTTAAATAATTGAAGTCTGCATTTCTCAGAATTCATCTGCTCATCTCACCCTTTTGTTAGACCTTCAAACAAATCACAGAATTGACCGACTTGAGTTTCTCTATAAGTCTTTCTTCTCCATCATGGGGTGGTGGGATATACAGGGGGCTGTTGGTCAGTTCTTTAAAGTTTGGATATCATAGTCATGGGAAACTGAGGTATGCAAGTCTGTTAACCTCCCTGGACTTCAGTTTCTACTTCAGAAGGACTTCTAGCTTTAAAATACCTTGATTCTTTCTTTCTTTTTATTTTTTATTTTATTTTTTTTATTTTTTTGAGACACAGTCCCACTGTATCACCCAGGCTGGAGTGCAGTGGCGTGATCTTGGCTCACTGCAACCTCCACCTCCCAGGTTCAAGTGATTCTCCTGCCTCAGCCTTCTGAGTAGCTGGAACTACAGGTGTGCACCACCATGCCCAGCTAATTTTTGTATTTTTAGTAGAGACAGGGTTTCGCCATGTTGGCCAGGATGGTCTCGATCTCTTGACCTCGTGATCCGCCCACCTTGGCCTCCCAAAGTGCTGGGATTACAGGCTTGAGCCGGCCTGTCTGCCACAATTCTCTCTTTCTAAACATTTGTTTACTTACTCTTTAAAGAATATTATAATTGATTGTACCATGATCTAATGGTAAGAAATAGAGAAGAAAATAAAATAAGTTAGTTTTATTAGTTTCATTGAACATTGTTTCACAAAAGTTCATTAAGCACCTACTACGTACATGATAAATACTTGTTTCACTGTCCAGTATACTAATAATGTTAAATTCCCAGAATGATTTGGGATTTTCCTTCCCTCAATTCTCCCATTGGTAATGTTTCCCTCCTGGCTACAACATTACAGTAAAATGTTATACTCTTTAATCTTATTTTCATATTCCCCAAACAAAGCAAAACAAAATCTTTCATCTCAAAGGGATTTTTAGCATGCTGCAAATTATCATTAAGTCACACACAATATTTTGTTTTCAGTTTTCCAGGGTAAAGAAACACATTTCACAACCTACTAGGTTATGTTTCTTAGGAAAAACTGTAGCCATCAAATGTTCACTTCTAATACAGATGGGTCAGCTGACATACTAGTTTTAATGAGTTACAGTAATGAATTTGTCGTAGAATTCAAGCCTTTTTCTGGCTATAAATTGCCCAAACCCAAATGCTGCAGGAAATTTACAAGAACTGCCATTAGAATAGGATGCTCTAAATTATCTCAGTTGTATTGAAACAAAACCAAACCTGTTAACAGATATATCAGGTAGTCATGAGTTGATGTGACAGAGAGTTATTGGGCTATTTGTCAAATGTTAAACTGGATGATGATGATGGAGAAAGTTACCTATCTTTTTTTTTTTTTTTTTTTTTTAGTGCTCTAATGAGTGCCAGGCATTGTCAGTATTTCACGTAAGCCTTATGATAACCTAATGAGCTATATAGTATTATTCTTACTTCTATTTTACAGATAAGAAAACTGAGCTTGGAGAGGTTAGATAATGTTTCCAAAGTCCCACACCTTAAATAGCTGAAAATGTTTCACATTGCTCGTGGTCACCTTGAGTTCACCATATTTAAAGTGAAAGTCATCATCCTCATCCCCTGTTGTTCTTTCCATTTCTGTCAGTGATACCGTGATTTTCTGTTCATTTTTGCAGTCATTGATTTTTCCTTTTCCGACTGTGCTCTGACTCCAATTACCAAGTCCCTTTCCTCATTCAGTGTCTTTCTGCTATCAGCCCTCTTCTTGTTACTTAGTGTCCAGGCCTCCCACCTAAATGTACAGGCTAATGGCCAAACTCCATAACTCAGTCTTCAAGGCTGGCTACTCTCTGGCTCCTCCTCTTCTTTTAGGCTCTTTTTCCTGTTACTTGTCTCCAGATGAACTAGGTACCTAAATACATTGTGCCCATTTTCTGCATCCCCTTTGTACATGACAACTCTTTTGAGATGGCCTCTCCCCTGCTCCCTGCTCCGCGAGCCCTGCCCCTTCCTCAGCATGAGACTGGGTCCTCTCCTGAAAGATGTGTTTTGATCAGCCCATTCCTTAGTGAGTATCCCTTCTTATTCAGTGCTTGTGACAGTAGTTTCTATACCTGTCATTTTGCACTAAGCACATGCCACCTGACTAGCATTACTATACAACTCTTCATTTATGTTATCTGTCTCTCTCTTAGTGGTGGTTAGGGCTGGGTCTAAATCTCTCCCTAACATCCGGAACATTGTTCTGTACCTAGAAAGTACAAGTTGTCATGCCTCGTGTACATGGGCAAGGAGAGGAACTTTTATGGTAACTATAGTAAATATCTCACATATTGACCTCATTGAGGTAAGAGATCTCCTGTGAATCCCCCAAGCCTTATTAGTCAGAGACCCATTTCACTAGAAAGGGTCTATATGTATTCATAGGATACAGTAGTAGATTGTTTGCAAAGATGGTCACAGCTGCTTCCATCCCTGTGCATGCACCTGTGTAAGGTAACTTGGCTCTCTTCCTATCAGGAGGAAATTTCCACTTCCCGAATCAGAGCTGACTTGTACTGACTTTGATTAAAGAGCATAGCAAAAAGTAACAAATCTCAAAACCTGAGGGGTGGTCTAGGGGACCACCCTCAACAAAGGATCCCATCTGAAGCCATGCCTTTTGCCACATTAGCCCCTGCATTTTTGTTCCATTGTGTACATATGATAGATGTGGTTTGAGATACTTCTTTAACCAAAGTTTTAAAGCATTTCAAAGTTCTGCACTTCTAAGAAGTGATCTTAAAGGTAGATAATAAACTGTGGTTATTCACATGTCCTGATACCTTAGTTCTGTTTTATCTCTTGTAGTTTCTTGAACACAGTGCAAAATTAACATTGATTTAAAATGCTAATATGTTCTCAAATCTGTTTTTAAAACCTTGCTTTCTTGTGTTCTTCGTTTGCAAACACCCAGAATTGCCCCTCCTCTTCTCTTTTATCCATTTTATGGAAACAATTTCTCTATTCGCCAAATAGCAAAACAGCCTTTGCTTAACAGTGTATATTTCACTTTTGTGCTAAAGCTATATTCCAGTAACATTTTCTTTCATGGAAAATGACCATTTCTTCCAGGAGTATATAATTTTTTTCAAATGCATGAAGTTCTAAAAATGAAACCATATCAGACAGAATGATCTTTGGCTTTATGAAAGTGGAATATTTTTTATAGCTCTGTAGCTGTTCATTATTTTAAAACCTATTAGTTATAACAGGTTAGCTTGAAAAATGAGGAGGTTTAAATCTGAGACAAAATATCTCACTATAGTTAGGTTCTGAAACTGTGCCAGCAAAATTGTGTTTGAATGATTCTTGAATTTGTTTTGTAAGGGGTAGCTTTCTGCTTTGAATGTGTATTCAGTAAAACACAGTTATTCAAATTCTAGCAGACATGTAGGAGAGCCAGATTCATGTGTAACGCAGATGTGGCATTGTTCAGTGGGGCTTTTCACTCCTAATGACGGACCTAATATGTTGTGTCTCCTTTTTCTGGCTGAGAGAAGGAATCACATTTTAGAAGCATTTTATTCAGTAATATGTTCACATTGTGTTTCACCTCTTGCTATCTCTTATACTACAAGAATACCTGTGACGTATTGAGATAGCTAATATCATTCCTAGAAAAGTACAAGGTAATTGGGATAGAAAATAATGTAATAGCTTTAGTAACAGAATATAATTAAATTAGTGCCTAGAGTAAAAATAGTGAAAGGATTTATTTTTAGTCTTTAATGGCTGAGATCAGTATGATTAAAATACATAAATTAAATAACAGCATTTGGTTCAGTGGTGTTCTGAGTGGTATTAACTCTCTCTAATATCTAATCTTAAGTGTGAATAATCTAAGTATTCTATTTTCTTCTGCCCTCCCCCATTTTTAAGTAAACCCAATATGAATTAGATAAAATAGGGAACACATTTGTTATATTCTTGGAAGCCTTGCGATTAAGGATTTTAAACTGGGTAGGTATATTTTTTATTAATCTACTGGAAAGTGGTTAAGGGAGCACTTTGTACCAGGGGCCATTCTGGGTGCTGGGAATAGAGCCACCAACACAGCAAACAAGGTCTCTGCTGTCAGGGAGTTCACAGTTTCCTTGTGAGAAGACAGATAATAACTGAGTAAACAAGCAAGTTAATTTCAGACAGAGGTAAAACACTATAAGGAAAGTAAAACAGAATAAATTATAGAAAATGGTTGAATGGGAAATGGGTTGCTTAAAATTGGGACATTTGGGAAAAATTTTGGGGGGCTGACATTTGAACTGAGAACTAACTGATGAAAAGCCATCCAGAAAGAGGAAAAGGAGTTGCAAAGGGTCTGAGGAGGTTATAAGCCTAGAGAGACTGAGAGAACTAAAAGAAAACCAGAATGGCTGGATTGCAGGGAACCAGAGGCAGCAAGGTCTGAGTGAAATTTGAGAGGTAGACGGGGCAAGATGCTGTGTTAGCTGTGAGTGCTACCTCTTTCTTTTCTTTTATATTACAGGGTGAGTATCCTTATCTGAAATGCATCGGACCAGGAGTGTTTCGGATTTTGGATTTTTAAAGATTTTGTAATATCTGCATTATGCTTATTGGTTGAGCATACCCAATCTGAAAATTTGAAATCTGATACGTTCCAATAAGCATTGTCTTTGAGTATCATGTATAATCTCAAAAAGTTTCAAATTTTGGAGCTCTTAGATTTCAGATTCTGGGTTAGGAATAACTCAACCTGTATTATATTCTGTATTGTGTTACATTCCATTATGTCATATCATATCTCATACCATATTGTATATTTATATTGTACATACCATATTGTTTATTTATATTACATTTATACATTTATGTTCTATGCCTTACAAACAGGGAAATGAAGGGTTGAAGAAAGACCTTAGATTTCTCAATATGTGTAGGTTTTCTGGCATTTCCAGTGTACAAAGTAATGCTAGTGGGTTGCTGTGTCCTGGCTTGGGGTCCCCAGCTTCTTTTCATGCTTCTTTACCATTATCAGTTAAATTCAATTCAACAGATATTTTCTTGGTATGCGCTGGGCCCAAGAAACTGATGAGTCCACGTGGGCCATTCAAGATGAATGCAGAAGAAACTGTGATAGGCTTTCATTATAGAGTAACTCTCCCAGATTATGTCTATTATTTCAATTAGTGAGCACCTACCTTTTCTACCATTTTATTTATCCTCAGGTTACAAGCAGTAAAATGATCATAAGGGCAAATATCTAATCTAAATGCCAGTGATAGGTAATGTTAACATAGTCGTCATTTGTTTCTCTCCACTGGTGATACAAGACACAAAAAAAATGATTTCAAGGCCTGCTTATGCATCAGATCAAGAAGGGTTTATCATCTGAATACCTCTCTTCTGGGAAGAATAAGGGAAATTCTTAAAAAATTAACAGTTTAATAAAATATGTGAAAGTTTAAAAACATATTCTTTTAAAAGAGGCAACACAGATCTGTAGACTCTTCTGTTACGATGGTTATGATTCAGGGTGTCTACTTTATACTAGAGGATCAGGAATAATGTAGACTATTTCCTCTCTGCGTATCTTCAGACCATATTTAGTCATATTATACTGACTTAAAATTTCCACCAAATTAAACTTTCCAGTGATTTATAAGACATTGAAATGCATTACCAAGAGCAGTTATTGAATCTTCCTTCAGAGATAATTAACAAAAAAGACTTTGTTATTAAAAAAGAAAAAAGGCAATAATTTAGGTTTCATGATGGCAAAGGTAAGTTCTGGAAGTCTTTCTGTGATTTGCTGATAGTAATTGTACTCTCTGGGTGCTTGTTTTGCTTTATTCTTTCTAACTCTTCCTGGTTTTATGGCTTGATAGATTTTCCTCCTGTTAAGAATAAAACTGTAGAAGTCAGTACCATATTTAGTCTCTGTCTCCAGGCATGGCCAATCCTTCTTCCCACTGGCTGCATTCAGGAATGTTCTAGAAAACAGCTGACAAAGCCTGAATGTGACAGAGCAAGTCATGTTAGGCAGTCCTCATGCTTTTTCAGCTGTGCTTCTTATTTTCTCATAGATGTATGTATGGTATATAAGTGTGTATGATGCATATGTGAAATATCCAAGTCAGAAAATTTGTCCATTTATGTTCCTCCCAGGTTACAAAACCAAATATTCCATTCTAGTCATGGTTAAAGCCCCCTGGGAAGCCCTGCTTGATTGAGCTAGAGATCATCACTGTCCTGATTTTTTTTTTAATCATTCATGTATGTCTTTATATTTTATGACATAGATTTATATATCTTAAATAATACAGAGTATTGTTTTGCTTATTTTTATACCTTACATAAATGCAGATTGCTTTTTCTCTTATCATTATATTCTTAGGAATTATCCATGTTGATACATGTATCTTTCATTTATTCTCCCTGCTGTATAGTATTCTGTTGGGGCACCAGGGGGCACAATAACTAACACCTTCTTTTACCATCCAGAATCAATTGAAAAATCGACTTAGAAATGTTAGCTTTCTTAGTGACATATAGCTCTGTTGGAGGGATTGGTTTGCTAAATGCAGCCCACATTAAGCAGGTTTACCCTTTAGAGTGGAGTGGCAGGGTCTTTAGCATATTCATATCAGCAGTTGACTTGTTCCCCAAGTGGTTGGGCCAGCTCACAGTATCACCCTCAGTGTACCAGAATTCCTTTCTATCCATATACTCACCAGCACTTGTTACTGAACTCTAGTTTTTGCCGACTTAATGGGTAGGAAATGGCATCTTACTGTGATTTTTAATTTTTCTCATTACTTACAAAGTTAGTCATGTCTCCTAGCACTTTGGGTTTCCTGTTCAATGTCAGTTTCCTATTTATGTGATTAGCCCACATGAAAAATATTGGGTAGTCTATTTTAAAATGATTTCTAGGGGTTCTTTATGTGTTCTGGGTTCTAATTCTTTCTTACTTATGAGTCACAGAGGAGGCAGAGGTTACAGTGAGCCGAGATCATGCTTCTGCATTCCAGCCTCTTCAACAGAGCAAGACCCTGTCTCAAAAAAAAAAAAAGAAAAGAAAAAAAATAATTCATTATGATATTCCTAATTCTTAATAAGAATAGTTTCTTATAGGGTCACATATAGATTTTATATAAAATATAAATTTATATGTATATTTATATAAAATATAAATTTACATAAAAAATTTAAAGTTTTGCTCTTGCAGATTAAATCCATAATTCTTCCTAGATTTGATTTATGAGTATGGCATGTGTGAGAACCCAGCTTCACCTTTTCCGTATGGACAATCAGTGTTTTCAGCTCTGTGAATTGAATGTGCTCTACCGTGACAAAAGCCCAAAGAGCATATGGGACAGTCCCTTATTTTACACATACTAGGTTAAATGACCCATCCAAAGTCATACACCTTGGTGGGGGTGAATGTGGGCATAGAATAGGATTAGGTTCTTGGCCCCTGGCACAGCGTGTTTTCATTGTAATGGATTATAGAATCATAATGTTATTCTTTATTTTTATAAAGTTGGTATGTATTTCTACAGCTAGATTTCCTTAGGTTTCACTGAATCATAAGTTTCAGTGCTTTTAGCTTTTTGTTGATGACATCTTTTTAGTTTCTTAGTACTGAAGGAACTGTTTATTATACTTGCTTCAATTAGCTCTATGGAAATAATGTGTACTGTTTTCCTTCCTTATTTTCAACCATATTTACATGCTAGTCTTTCCAACAGGTTGTATAAATAAATTAAATGTTATGGTAAATTATTCCAAAATGGCATATTAAGTTTACATAAATTAAAACTATGGTGCCATACTATGAATCAGATTGTAACCAGATGTAAATTTATAAATGTGTATAGTTAATTTTTTAAATGTAATTTTCCATGCATGACTGCTTTATTTATTTAAGTTAGTGTGTTTAACAATACAATTAGTACATTCAACCCAAGAACTACAATATTACCATTAACTCATGTATCAAGTACTCCTCCATCCTATCTTCCTGCCTTTTTCCATAGGAACCAGTATCCTGAAATGAGTGTTTATTATTCCCATGCTTTAAAAATATATGCACATATACATATACTGATATGTTTCTCTAACATTTACTCTTCCTTGTTTTTAAACTTTGTAAAAAAGAATGTCAAATGTATGTAGTCTTTGTGACTTGCTTTTTTTCACTCAGTAGTGTTTCTGATATTTATCCTTGTTTTATGTATAATTATAATTCACTCATTTAAAATGTGTTTAGCAACTGGGCACAGTGGCTCATGGCTGTAATCCCAGCACTTTGAGAGACCATGGTGGGAGGACCTCTCAAGGCCAGGAGTTCAAGACTAGCTGTGGCAGTAAGCAAGACCCCATCTCTATAAAAAAAAATAAAAATAAAAATTAGCCAGGTGTGATGGCACATACCTATAGCCCTGGCTACTGGGGAGGCTGAGATGGGAAGATCACGTGGGCCCAGGAGTTCAAAGCTGCAGGAGTTTGAGGCTGCAGTAAGCTATGATCATGCCACTGCTCTCCAGCCTGAGTGACAGAGGGAGAGCCTGTCTCCAAAAAAATAAAATAGTATTGCATTCCATTGTATGGATTTACCACAGTTTGTCTAGGTGACGAACATTTAGTTTTCTTTCCCCCAATTTTGTTTGCTTTTTCTCTTATTAATACTGTATGAACACTTTTGTATCATAGCACTTCTGGTGCTCATGTGCAAATGCTTCTCTGGATAGGTACTTAAGAGTGGAATTGCTAGGTCGTAAGGTACACAAATGTTTACTTAGATCGTGCTGGGATATCATAAGGCCAGGTGGTATTTTAAATAAGTCATATCAACTTACAGTCCCCCCAGCAGTATCTTCTGTTGATGGGCATCCTCTCCAACTCTTGCCAGACTTCTTAATCTTTTCCAGTTGAGTGGGTATAATATCTCATTGTTGGCTTGATTTTATTACCCTGATTAGTAATGAGTTATCTCTGTTATCTTTTCATGTTTACTAGTCTCCTCTTTGACATACATGTTCATGGTTTTTACTCATTTTTTGATTGCATTTTCTTTTTTTTTTCCTTTTTGAGAGAGAGTCTCACTCTGTTGCCCTGACTGGAGTGCAATGACGTGATTTCAGCTCTCTGCAACCACCTCCTCCCAGGTTCAAGTGATTCTTTTGCCTCAGCCTCCCAAGTAGCTGGGATTACAGGTGCCTGCCACCACACACAACTAATTTTTGTATTTTTAATAGAGACAGGGTTTCACCATGTTGTTCAGGCTGGTCTCAAACTCCTGACCTTGTGATCTGCCCACCTCCACCTCCCAAAGTGCTGAGATCACAGGTATGAGCCACCGTGCCCAGCCTCAATTGCATTTTCTATTGATTTGAATGTGTTCTTTATATATGTTCTCAATACAGATATTTGATCTGATTAACAAATATCTTCTCCCAGTTTGTGGCTTTTCACTTTCTTCAAGTATCTTTTGAGATATAAGTAAAATTTAGTTTGGTTAAATTATGAATCTTTGTCATAGAGTGTTTGTGTCCTATTTAAGAAGCCCTTCATTACCTCCAAAGTCAGAGACCTATTACCTATATTTTCTTCACAAAATTTAAAGTTTTGCTCTTGCAGATTAAATCCATAATTCTTCCTAGATTTGATTTATGAGTATGGCATGTGTGAGAACCCAGCTTCACCTTTTCCATATGGACAATCAGTGTTTTCAGCTCTGTGAATTGAATGTGCTCTATTTTCTCTACTGTTCTGCTATGGTGCCTCTGCTCCTGTGTTTTCTATTCTGTTTCACTGGTCACTTAATCTGTCTCTGCACCAATTCCTCACTGTCCTCATAAAATCTTAATACCAGTAGGGCAAGTCTCCTTCCTTACTTTTCATCGTCAGCCATGTATTGATTATTTCCAGCTCTTTGTTTTTTCATAATAATTCCAGAACTAGCTTGTTAAGAACCAAAAACTCAGTTCACATTTTGATTAACATTGACATTACAGATGAGTTTCTGAAGAGTTGACATCTTAATAATATTGTCTTCCTATCCGTAAATATGATACATTTTTCATTAGGTATTCTTGAAAGCCTTTCAGAAAATTCCTACAATTGTCTGTACCATCACACTCCTATCACCCTGTCACCATCATGATCATAATGGTTTTCACTTATACCATATTTCTTTCTTTTTTTTTTTGAGACAGAGTTTCACTCTTGTTACCCAGGCTGGAGTGCAATGGCATGATCTCGGCTCACTGCAACCTCCGCCTCCTGGGTTCAAGCAATTCTCCTGCCTCAGCTTCCCGAGTAGCTGGGACTATAGGTGTGTGCCACCATGCCCAGCTAGTTTTTGTTTTTTTAATAGAGACAGGGTTTCACCATGTTGACCAGGATGGTCTCGATCTCTTGACCTCATGATCCACCTGCCTTGGCCTCCCAAAGTGCTGGGGTTATAGGCTTGAGCCACCATTCCCGGCCCCGTATTTCTTATATGCCAACCCCATTCTATTTTGTATCCAGACTACAGCAGCAGTCTTTTGAGGTAGATCCTATTATTATGAGATGTCACACATAGGAAACTGAGGCACAGAGAGGTTAATCACCTCACTGTAGGTCACACAGCGAGTAAATGGCAGAGGCAAGATTCTAACCCAAGGTGCCTGGATATAAAGTTTATACTTTTAATTACTATTCTATATTGCACACAGCTTTTTTCCTTCTCTTTTTGGATTTCTTCCTACATTTTTATAGTTTTTGTTGCTGTTATAAATGGTAGTTTTGAAAATTATGTGTTTTTAATTACTTGTAAAAACAACAGAAACAAAGTTGCTTTTTGAATATTGATCTTCTAGCTAATAACCTTGCTAACTTTGTGGACTTTTAAGGATCCACAAAGATAATGATATCAGTGGAAAATAATAATTATTTCTTCCTTTCCAATTCTCATATTGTTTTTTTCTTTTTGCTGACATATGCACTGGCTAGGACTTACAGGGGTGTTAGTGTCTCGTTCTGAAACTCAAAGGGAAACATTTCAATATTTTATCAGTTAATTTGATCGTAGCTGTAGGGTTTAGATCGTTTCTCAGATTAAAGAATTTCTCATCTGGTCTAGTTTATCATGAGTTTTTTAAAAATCAAGAATTGGTGAGAACACATGGACACAGAGAGGAAAACACTACACACTAGGGCCTGTTGGGGGGTGGGGGGCAAGGGGAGGGAGAGTGTTAGGACAAATACCTAATGCATGTGGGGCTTAAAACCTAGATGGTGGGTTGATAGGTGCAGCAAACTACCATGGCACATGTATACCTATGTGACAAACCTGTACTTTCTGCACATGTATCCCAGAACTTAAATTTTTTTAAAAAAAGAATTGGCATTAAATTTTACTGTATGCCTTTTCTGTATCTATTGAGATGTTATTTTTTGAAATTCATTCATGTGGTTAATAACATGTACGTGTATATATGTGTATAGTTTTAGTGTTAATTCATCTTTTATATTTTTTATATAAACCCAATTGTATTATCCTATTATCTTTTTAATGCACGTTTGGGTCCAGTTTGCTAATTGGGTGGTATGTGCGTGCACGTGCACGTGTGTGTGTGTGTGTGTGCGCGTGTGTGTGTGTGGTGTGTCTAAAATAGAGCTGTAATTTTCCTTTCATTTGTTTCATTGCAAGGTTATACTGGCCTCATAGAGTGAATTAGGGAGAATTCCCTCTTTTTATATTTGGTACAAGATTTTGCTATTTTAATATAAATAAAATATTGCCTTGGAAAATTTTTAACTGTTTAATTATATATAATCAGAAACTTCTTGCTTTTGACAATACATTGTTTTCTGCTACTTTGAAAAACTCTAATTTCTACCATGGTATCTCAAACTCTTAAGTATTTTAAATGTATTAAATGTATAAGGTATTAAAAAGTTATAACCAAACAGTTATTAAAGTCCCCTATATTACATTTTATAGTTTTCTATTCCTTGAAGACACTTCAAGTTATTTATTTTTAAGCATAGAACCTCTAGTTGAAGTCTGTTTATGTCTGCTTCTGCTGGTTCTTGCTCATGGTAACTAGTTTCCTTGCAAACTTGTTTGTATTCGACTTTCTGGAGCTCAGCAATCTTGAAAAATAATTCATGGGGAATTCCACGAGCCCAGGATGAAATCAGAGTGGTTTATGTGTTTCTTCCAGGCTCCTTGGAGCACAATCAGTATAGGACTATATTAAAACAAATTCACAGAAGGAAGTTTCTGTACTCACTCAAGGTATCCAGCGACCCAGGGACCCTCCCAGCGAGGGTCAGTCCACACTCATAACTTCTCAGGGGTGTATTATCATTTTTTATTTTATTTTTCTCTTACTACTTTGCTCAACAACAGAGAAACTTTTGTGTAGTCCTTTGGATTCTGAGGGATCTGTGGGGATCGCTCCCATGTGAGGCCCCTAGGAAATGAACCTCGCCATATGGTGAGCTTGAGCCCGGACACAGATCCCCGGTTGGGGGAGTCGAGCTGAGGGAAAGCAGGAACCGAGAGAGGGACTATGCTATTCAAAATAATTAACAGACATTACTTTATGGATATGAGGACTTGGGAGGCATTGTGTCCACTTTCGGCTCCTTATGGTTTATTGCTTGATTGTGTTCATTTTGGACCCTTGTTACCTTCATTGTAAAATATTAACTTAAGTATTTACACTTGGTAACTTACTTACCATAACTTACTGGGCGTAACTGTAACTTACCATAACTTACTGGGCGTAATTGTAACTTGCTTACAATTGTTAAGTACTTACTGGGCGTAACTTACTTGCTGGGCGTAACTGACTTACCGTAACTTACTGGGCGTATCTGACTTACTGGGCTTAACTTACTTACTGGGCATAACTTAGTGGGCGTAACTTGCTTACTGTAACTTAAGTATGTTGATCTGGCGTAAACAACATTAACTTCAGAAAAGTATATAATGGAACATATTGCAAAAATAAAATTGCTGCTTGGACATAGCCTAAGCCAGCCCTCCAGACTCCGCTTTTCTTTTTTCTTTCACTTCCGCACACTCTCTCCCTCAGGTTGAACGAGACATCTATGTTGGCGGTCTCGGGGACTCCCGCAGGTCGGTAGCCCCCTGGCAGACGTGCCGGACACCAACAGGATTCAGCTTACTGTGGGAAAGTTATCCTGTGAGACTATCCAAATTAGCAAAGTCCTGGAGCTTCACTTCTGGCCTCATCCCCCCATGAGGCTACCAAACTGAAGCCCCAGTGCACGATGGGAGTGAATCCCTTCAGGGCAAAGGTGGCTTTGTGATGCTGATGTTCTTTCCACTAACCTCTTTGGGTTCAAGCTACCCCCAAGAATTTGGCCTGGCAGCTCTTTTAGCTCTTCAGTCCTTTTAAGGTGTTTTTTTTTTCTTTTTAGTGTCTTATTCAGCATCTTTAGTTTTTTCAGTGGGGAATTGATCTGAGTATCCAAAAACAGAAACACATGAATTCTTAAATACTTCGTCTCCCAAAATTTTCCTTCTAAATTCTGTTTTCCAAATATTGACTCATTAGGTGGACCGTAAGATTTATTAAGTATTAGAAAAGAGTATCCATTTATTTATAAGAGATATAGAAAATATATAAAATTAGTAATGCATTTCTAAAGCTTAGTAATTCTGGCATTTTAGCTTTATCTTCTATTGCTATTTAAAGAACATGACCAATTGTTTTGGCAGGGCTGGGGAATGGAGTCTCCCTCTGTTGCCTAGGCTAGAGTGCAGTGGCGCAAGACTCGGTCAGCTCACTGTAACCTCCGCCTCCCAGGTTCAAGCAATTCTCTGCCTCAGCCTCCTTGAGCAGCTGGATTACAAGTGCCCGCCACAATGCCCATCTAATTTTTTTGTATTTTCAGTAGAGACGGGGTTTCACCATCTTGGCCAGGCTGGTCTTTAACTCCTAACGTCGTGATCCACCTGCCTCGGCCTCCTAAAGTGCTGAGATTACAGGCGTGAGCTACCGTACCTGGTATTTTCTGATATTTAGCACTTAGAACTGCAAACAGAGAAAGTGTCATAGCACCGTGGTTTTATAAACAAAGACAGGACACCTGTCTTAGTCCATTTGGGCTGCTATAATAAAAATACCATAAATTGGGTGGCTTATAAACAACAGAAATTTTTTTCTGACACTTCTGTAGGCTGGGAAATCCAAGAGCAAGGAGCTGGCAAATCTGGAGTCTGGGGAGGGCCCACTTTCTGTTTCACAGATGGTACCTTCTAGATGTGCCTTTGATATAGTTTGGACATTTGTTCCCACCCAAATCTCATGTTGAATCATAATCCCCAGTGCTGGAGGTGGGGCCTGGTGGGAGGTATCTGGATCATGGGGGCTTATGCCTCAACGCTTGGTGCTGTCTTCATGATAGTGACTTCTTGCAAGATTTGGTCATTTAAAATCGTTTGATACCTCTTCCACTCCAACTCTTGATCCTGCTCTGGCCGTGTGACATGGCTACTCCCCCTTTTCCTTCTGCCATGATTGTAAGCGTCCTGAGCTTCCTCAGAAGCCAAGCAGATGCCAACACCGTGCTTCCTGTAAAGCCTGCAGAACCATGAGCCAACTAAACAAGCTCAGGTATTTATAGCAATGCAAGAACAGTCTACTCCAGGCCTCACGTACTGAAAGGAGAGAACTCTAGTCCCTTCAGCCCCTTATAAGGGCATTAATCCCATTCATGGGGGTTCTGCCTTTATGGCCCCACCTCCAGCCATGACATTGGTGATTAGGTTTTATCATGTGCATTTGGGGCAGGCATAAACATTCAGACCCTAGCAACAGCATTTTCTGTTTTACTTCCTTCATTGTAATTCTCATCATTGTATTGGCCATATTTTCTACCTCAGTATGTTGGACAATGACTTCAGGGAGTGGTCTTTAAATGCTCCTAGAGGGCTGTCTGGGATATAGCTGATAACTAAGAGCTTCCTTCTCTACAAGTATGCTTTAGGTTATTTTTTTAGAATTGAAATGAGAAGATTCACTATTTGCTATATCCATTCCCAAGAAAATATATTATAGTTTCGAGAAAAATGTGTTAACACATGTGCTAAAATATGATCCAGATGTTTAATGTCTTACTGTAATATCATTTTACTGTTCAGAGTCACCTGCCTTTTTGGTCCCTGCCTAAGTTTGCTTTCTTTATTCCATAACACCTGTTGCCAGGAATATATTTACAGTCTGCTGTCTTTTCTAAATGGTTGGTACATATGTAAGAAAAAGGTTGACTTTTACTTGTTTCTTTCAGTAACATACCTTAAGGATTCTTTGTTATTTTATTTTCAGTGTTACTTTATTTCAATAGAATAATACTGTTTTTACTTAAATACCATATAAGGAGTCATGCTGTATGACCCAGGCATGATATTTACTGAAATGTTCATGGATAGAAAAGAAGTTATTCCTAGTTTTGCTTTTTAAAAAGAATTCCAAAACGTCAAACTCCCACATGATAAGTGGCCCTGTATTTCCATAGGCTTAGAAAACTTATGTCTAATTTATTATCGCACGTGATCATGTGTATCTAGTTGTTTGCTACATTCTATTTCAGATCTTTGCATTTATAGTTCCCTATTTAAACATCACATCATCATAGAGGCCTTTCCTATCCAAAGTGACTTACTCCATCTCCCATCTGCAGTAAATCTCTGCTGCCTGGTTTTATGTCATTTATAGCACTTAGCAAATCTCAGAGAAGATCTTCTGTTTTTGTTTGCTTATTGTCTATCATGCTTGACTGTACGGCTTCATGAGAGTAGTGATGCTGTCTGTTCTGTCTTGAATACCTCTGGATTTTCAGGTTAGTCCAGAGCACATGTTCAATGAATCAATGAGTTTATTAAAGACTGTAGAAAAATAATCTGTTTATATTAGATATGATATTTGATCTTTGTTAATTCAAGAGATTTTCATTGGGTTATTTAGGAGTTGAAGAAGGTATCCAGACTGACCTTAGGTTTAGGTTATAATAATTAGCTAACTAGAAAGTTAACCATGGATATATTTAATCTGTAAGCCTGATGAAGTTTTCTGGTTCTTTGGGCTGTCTCTGAGGATTGTGTATCTGCTGTAAATCATCAAAACTGCAGTAAACCAGGAGTCTTGCCAAATTTCAAGGTACTAAATACATACCTTGATCTCTTTGTGGTCATTGGAAATATTTTCAACACAGAAAAGTATAGAGAATAATATAGTGTAACACTTACATCTCAGCCACCTCACTTTATCTAGTCTTAATATTTGTCATATTTGCCTCAGTGTTTGGTCAAAGACCAGTCTTGATGTTTTTAAGATACGATTAATACTTAAATCAGTAGACCTCTAGTAAAGCAGATCTCTTTTTATAAGGTGAGAGGACCTCATCTAATCAGTTGAATGCCTTCAGAGAAAACGTGTAGGTCTCCTGGGGAAGAAGGAATTCTGCCCACAGGCTGCCTTCAGATTTGAGGCTGCAACATTAACTCTTCCCTTGACTGTCTGTTATGTTGCATTTGTCTGTTTGTCTATCTTTGTGCCAACATCACACTCTCTTTATTATATAACTTTGTAATCTTGACGTCTGCTGGTGTACGTCCTAGAACTTTGTGTTTTCTTCAGAATTGTCTTGGCTATTTTTAGCCCATTGTGTTTTAAAATAAATTTTAGAGTCAGTTTTTCAATTTCCACCAAAAAAAAAAAAAAAAAAACAAGAAGCCAGCTTCAAATCCAAAAGTTGCTGGATTTCTAATTGAATTTATATTGCCTGTTTAGCCTAGATCAATTTGGGGAGAATTGACAGTGCCAAAATGTTTAAGTCTTCCAGTGCATGAATGAAGTCTATCCTTTTGTTTTTAAATGTCTTCTGTGATTTTTCTTACTGTTTTATAGTTTTCATGTAAAAGTTTTGCACATATTTTGTCAGATAATTCTGAGATATTTGGTTTTTATGGAGTTACGTGATACAGATTTTTGAATTTCATTTTCTGCTTATTTAGACATACAATTGATTTTTATATACTGGTCTTATACCAGCAGCATGACTGAATGTCTTAGTCTGGTCTCTCTTTTATAACAAAATACCATATATTTTGTTATAATGGGCGGCTTAAACAACAGAAATTTATTTTCTCACAGTTCTTTAGACTGGGAAGTCTGCGGTCAGGTGCTGGCATGGTCTGGTTCTGGTTCTGGTGCTCTTCCTGGTTTGGTGAGGGCACTCTTCCTGGCTTGCAGATGGCTGCCTTCCTGGCTGTGTGCTTCCGGGTACTTTGCTGGACATGTGCATGGAGTGGGGGCTCTGTTGCTCTTCTTATAAGGGCTCTAATACCTTATGATGTCCTCACTCTCATGACCTAATTACTTCCCAATGGCACCACCTCCAAATTCTGTGACATTGTGGGTGAAGGATTCAACACAGAATTTAAAGCAGGAATGGGCACACATTCAGTACATAATACTAAGTTAACTTATTAATTCTAATACTTTGTCTTAGTAATTGCAATAGCATATATTCTTCTATATTTTCTAGGCATGCAATCATGCCATCTTCAAATAATAGTAGTTTTATTCTTTTCCAATTCTTATGTCATTGATTTCTTTTTCTTTTCTTACTACATCATCTAGGGTCTCCCATATGGTAACAAATAAAAGTTATGTGAGCAGGTATCCTGTTTCTTCTTCATCTTGGTGAGGGAGGGGAAAACTTTAGTATTTCACGTTAAGTATGGACTACACAACACGTTTTTGTGTTTTGTTATGTTTTTAGGGGATAAATAACCTTTATTCGATTAAGGGAGCTCCTGCTTTGCTAAGAAATTTCATCATGAATAGATATTGACTTTTATTAAATGCTTTTTCTGCTTATGTTGCCAGGATCATATTTTTCTCCTCTATCCTGTTAATGTGATGATAATATGCAGTAGACTAATAGTAAAAAGAGAGCTACTGTACCATTAATAAATGTAAGGCTTAGAGCATTTACAATTGTATATATTATTTTGTTAAGAGCATTTAAAATTTATTTTTTTTCTTATTGTTTTTTAGAGACGGAGTCTCCCTCTGTTGCCTAGGCTGGAGTGCAGTGGTGAGATCACGGCTCACTATAGCCTCAAACTCTTGGGCTCAAGCAATCTTCCCACCTCAGCCTCTGGAGTAGCTGGGACTACAGGCATGTGCCACTATGCCCAGCTAATTTTTAAAAACTTTTTTTTTAGAGATCAGGTCTCACTATGTTGCTCAGGCTGCTCTTGAACTCCTGGCTTCAAGCAGTCTCCCACCTCAGTCTCCTGAGTAGCTGGATTGCAGATTCAAGCTATTGTACCTGACTATATGGACATTATATGTAGTAGATTCTACTATGCTATTAAATTTGTCTATATCTAACAGGTACTTGGGAAGAATAATTAAACGAACAGAGGAGTGGTTTAGAAGTGACAGGTGACTTGGCATATGTGTCCAAATAAAAAGTAAATGTACATTTGGCCATCTGTATCAATAAGTTCCATATCTGTGGATTCAACCAACCAAAGACAGAAACATTTTTTTAAGTTGCGTCTGTACTGAACATACAGACTTTTTTCCTTGTCTTTATTTCCTAAACAAGATGGTATTAACAACTGTTTACATGGCATTTACCATGTATTAGGCATTATGAGTAATCTAGAGATGATTTAAAGTATACAAGAGGATGTGCTTAGGTTATATGCAAATACTACACTATTTTATAATAAAGACTTAAGCATCTATGGATGTTAGGACTCATGGGAGGTCCTGGAACCAGTCCTTCATGGTTACCAAGGGACGACTATATTTATATATTAAATCACCTTTTGACAAAATTTAATGAAAATGTTTCTCTTGTGAATCTGAATAAAGTTTCAAGAAACTACGAAACATTCGTCTAATATCAGTTTCTTTTATTCATAGATGTACTAGAATATTATTATGTTAAGATTAACTATCTTAGTCCATTTGTGTTGTTTTAAATGGACTGAAGCTTGATAATTTATAATGTAAAAAGGCTTATCTGGCTCAAAATTCTAATGGCTGGAAAGTTCAAGATTAGACATTTTGCATCTGGTAAGGCCTCACCCTTCTTCCAACTGTGGTGGAAGGTAAAGGGGAGCCGGCTTGTGCAGAGATCACGTGGCAGGAGAGGAAGTAAAAGGAAGAGTGGGCAGGTGCCAGGCTCTTAACAACCACCTCTGGTGGGAACTAATAGAGTAAGAACTCACTCGCCCCCACTGACAAAGAGAACATTCATCTGTTCATGAGGGTTCCACCCCCAGGACCCAGACTCCTCCCATTAGGCCCCACCTTTAACATTGGAAATCAAATTTCAGCCTGAGGTTTGAGAGGACAAACATCCAAACCATAGCGGTAGCTGAAGGACTTTCTACCTCTGCCTTCTTTAAATCATACATTATATGTAACTGAGCCACAGACTGAGAGATGGGTAGAACATTCACCAAGACTTTTCTCATTCCTAAGAGCAGTGAAAATTCCAAGGTACACTCTGTAGGAAAGTGGTATATGCTTATATAAATCTTAACCTCATTTAAAGGTGGGTAGATGAGTGAATGGATGGAGAGAGAGAGAGAGGAAAAAAGAGAAGTCATGGAAACTTGCTGTAGGTTTTTCACCTGGATGAAATGAAACATCACAAATGGTTTCTTATAGATGATCTCTTTAGCTTCCTTTTGTAGGACTTTCTCCCAGAGCAGGGCATTCTTTGTCAATGGTAGGGAAAGAGTCCAAATCACTATATCAAAATGATTAGTATTCTATAACGTATTTGAATTTAGACCATCTCAACATATGCCCCACATATATTTCCCATTGTGCTTCACCCTTAACAGAAACAAATAATAAGACAAGGTAGTATTTGAACCTCTCAAAGAAGAGTTTATAATGCCTTGAATAAAGGCGTCACAGATACCAATATTTTATTCCTTTCTCTGGCATCTGGGAAGTTTTTCAACACTCAGGCAATGGATGATTGTAACATTCATGTTAGATAAGAAATGTGCCTTTCTTTTGTAAGTAGAAAAAAGGGGCCAGGCACAGTTGCTCACGCCTGTAATCCAAGCACTTTGAGAGGCTAAAGCAGATGGATCATGGGGTCAAGAGATTGAGACAATCCTGGCCAACGTGGTGAAACCGCGTTTCTACTAAAAAATATATATATAAATTAGCTGGACGTGGTGGCACCCGCATGTAGTCCCAGCTACTCAGGAGGCTGAGGCAAGAAACTCACTTGAACTCAGGAAGCAGAGGTTGCAGTGAGCCGAGATCGTGTCACTGCACTCCAGCCTGTCAACAGAACAAGATTCCGTCTCAAAAAAAAAAAAAAGGGAAAAAGAAAAAAGGTGCTCAAAAGGGGAAGTGGGATTAGAAAACCAGTATCACTCCACACAGGTGCTCTTGAGCAAACCAGTTTTTGTAAGGATTATAAGTAGAGGTTGAAGCTCTGGTAATTGATTATAGTAATACTACAATGTTTGTGTAACCCTAGGCATACATGTTCCTGTGTTTAATGCTACTGATCTCCATTGTAGATGTAGGTTTCAAATTATTTTTGTCCCAGTGCATGCACATCTTCAGCTTCATTCCTTTATTCTTTAATAAAGGAAAATTTAAGACAAGTAATGTTTAGAACAGATTTTGTATAGTTGGTAGTATAATTCAAAAATATACTAGTTCTAGGCCGGGCATGGTGGATCATGCCTGTAATTCTAGCACTTTGGGAGGCTGAGGTGGGCAGATCACCTGAGGTCAGGAGTTTGAGACCAGTCTGGCCAACATGGTGAAACCCCGCCTCTACTAAAAATACAAAAATTAGCCTGGCAGGATGATGCACATCTGTAATCCTAGCTACTCAGGAGTCTGAGGCAGGAGAATTGCTTGAACCTGGGAGGCAGAGGTTGCAGTGAGCTGAGATCGCACCACTGCACTCCAGCCTGGGTGACAGAGAAAAAAATTATATATATATATATATATTCCAAGTCATAAAGTAGACCAAAAATTTAAGTAGCTCTAAAAATAGTTTAGATAAAACATTTTATTGAAAGGTAGAGAGTGGATTTTAGAGAAACTGAGATTTTTATATACTACTAAATATTGAGGTTGATGAAGAGCACAGTTATTCAGGCTTTCACTTCTTTTAACAAGGATTTATTGAGGCACCTGTTACTTGCTTATATTGAGCTAGGTATTGAGGATATGGTGTGAAGTAGACAGTTTTGTTCTATAGCATTAAATGGTGAAAGAATAACAAGTAAACTAAACTAATGAAAACAGCCATATAATTACCAGTTGTTTTAAATACCAAGTAAACAAATAGGGTGGTAAGAATGTGGAGTAATTGGAATAGTCACTTTAGAGCGCCTGTGGAGACCACAGGAGAGGGCCACATGCATGTTTGTGATTTCTGTGGCACCACCCGTCAGTGGACCTGCTGGACCATGGTTCTGACTTCTGTCCTTTCCCCATTTTATAGATGGGGAAGGTGAGATGCAGAAGCACAGCAATTTTCCATGCGCCTGTAAGCATCTATATAAGTGGTTAAGTGAGAATTCAAACCCAGGTGGTCTGACCCCAAAGCTTATATTTTTAACCCCTATGCTATCCTGTCTCACAAGTAATATTAGTTTCATTTTAGTGAAATAGCCAAGATAAGAACCAAGCAGGCTGGACGCAGTGGCTCACACCTGTA